AGCTAAAGCAATCTTGTACAACAAAAACAAAGCTGGAGGCATCACAATACTAGATTTCAGGACATACTACAGGGCAGTTGTTATCAAACAGCATGGTACTGGTACAGAAACAGATGGACAGACCAATGGAACAGAATAGAAACACCAGAAATCAATCCAAACATCTACAGCCAACTTATATTTGATCAAGGATCCAAAACCAATCCCTGGAGTAAGGACAGTCTATTCAACAAATGGTGCTGGGAAAATTGGATTTCTATGCGCAGAATCATGAAGGAAGACCCCTACCTTTCACCTTACACAAAAATTCACTCAACATGGATTAAAGACTTAAATCTACGACCCAACACCATCAAATTATTAGAGAACATTGGAGAAACCCTGCAAAATATAGGTACTGGCAAAGACTTCTTGGAAAAGACCCCAGAAGCACAGGCAGTCAAAGCCAAAATTAACATTTGGGATTGCATCAAATTGAGAAGTTTCTGTACTTCAAAAGAAACAGTCAGGAAAGTGAAAAGGCAACCGACAGAATGGGAAAAATATTTGCAAAGTATGCAACAGATAAAGGGTTGATAACCAGAATCTACAAGGAAATCAAGAAACTCCACAACATCAAAACAAGCAAGCCACTTAAGAGATGGGCCAAGGACCTCAACAGACATTTTTCAAAAGGGGAAATCCAAATGGCCAACAGGCACATGAAAAAATGTTCAAGATCACTAGCAATCAGGGAAATGCAAATCAAAACCACAATGAGGTTTCACCTCACCCCGGTTAGAATGGCTCATTCAGAAATCTACCAACAATAGATGCTGGAGAGGATGTAGGGAAAAAGGGACACTAACCCACTGTTGGTGGGAATGCAAACTGGTTAAGCCACCATGGAATTCAGTCTGGAGGTTCCTCAGAAACCTGAATATAACCCTACTATACAACCCAGCCATACCACTCCTTGGAATTTACCCAAAGGAAATTAAATAGGCAAACAAAAAAGCTGTCTGCACATTAATGTTTGTTGCAGCTCAATTCACAATAGCTAAGACCTGGAACCAACCCATATGCCCATCAGCAGTAGACTGGGGCCAGCGCTAATCCTCTGCCTTGCGGTGCTGGCACACCGGGTTCTAGTCCCAGTTGGGGCGCTGGATTCTGTCCGGGTTGCCCCTCTTCCAGGCCAGCTCTCTGCTGTGGCCCGGGAGTGCAGTGGAGGATGGCCCAAGTACTTGGGCCCTGCACCCCAAGGGAGACCAGGAGAAGCACCTGGCTCCTGCCATCGGGTCAGCGTGGTGCGCCGGCCGCGGAGGCCATTGGAGGGTGAACCAACGGCAAAGGAAGACCTTTCTCTCTGTCTCTCTCTCTCACTGTCCACTCTGCTTGTCAAAAAAAAAATCATAAGGAACAGTAGACTGGATAAAGAAATTATGGGACATGTACTCTATAGAATACTATACAGCAGTCAAAAACAATGAAATCTGGTCATTTGTAACAAGATGGAGGAATCTGGAAAACATTATGCTGAGTGAATTAAGCCAGTCCCAAAGGGACAAATATCATAGTTCTCCCTGATCGGCGACAATTAACTGAGCACCAAAGGGGAAACCTGTTGAAGTGAAATGGACACTATGAGAAACAGTGACTTGATCAGCCCTTGTCCTGACTGTTGATGTACAATGTAATACTTTATCCCTTTTAGTATTTTCTTTTTGTTCTAGTACTATTGGTTAAACTCTGTAATTAATACACAATTATTCTTAGGTGTTTAAATTTTAACTGAAAAGTGATCCCTGTTAAATATAAGAGTGGGAATAAGAGAGGGAGGAGATATACAATTTGGGACCTGCTCAATCGGACTTGCCCCAAATGATGGAATTAGAAACGTGCCAGGGGATTCCAATACAATCCCATCAAGGTGGCATGTACCAATGCCATCTCACTAGTCCAAGTGATCAATTTCAGTTCACAATTGATGACACTGATAGGTCTAAGAGTCAAAGGGATCACACAAACAAGACTAGTGTCTGCTAATACTAACTGATAGAATCAAAAAGGGAGAGAACGATCCAACATGGGAAGTGGGATACACAGCAGACTCATAGAATGGCAGATGTCCTAAATAACACTCTGGCCTCAGAATCAGCCCTTAAGGCATTTGGATATGGCTGAAGAGCCCATGAGAGTATTTTAGGCATGGAAAGCCAAGACACTCTGGAAAAAAAAAAAGAAAAAAGAAGACCTAAATGAAAGATCTCTGCGTGGGAGATCCCAGTGGAAAGAACGGGGCCATCAAAGAAGGAGGTACCTTTCTCTGAAGGGAGGAGAGAACTTCCACTTTGATTATGACCCTGTCAGAATAAGATCGAAGTCGGCAAACTCAAAAGGCTTCCATAGCCTTGGCAACTCATGACTAGAGTCTAGGGAGATTACTAATGCCATTAACAAGAGTGTCAAATTGTTAAATCAACAACAGGAGTCACTATGTACTTACTTCTCATGTGGGATCTGTCCTTAATGTGTTGTCCAATATGAAGTAATGCTATAACTAGTACTGAAACAGTATTTTACATTTTGTGTTTCTGTGTGGGTGCAAACTGATGAAATCTTTACTTAATATATACTAAATCGATCTTCTGTATATAAAGATAATTGAAAATGAATTTTGATGTAAATGGAATGGGAGAGGGAGCAGGAGACGGGAGGGGTGCGAGTAGGAGGGAAGTTATGGGGAGGAAAGCCATTGTAATCCATAAACTGTACTTCGGAAATTTATATTTACTAAATAAAAGTTAAAAAAAAGAGCTTGGGACCCTGTACCCACAAGGGAGACCCAGAAGAAGCTTCTGTCTCCTGGCTTTGGATCAGTCCAGCTCTGGTCATTGTGGCTTTTTTGATCCAGGGATATAAGATCTCTCTCTCTCTGTCTCTCCCTTTGTCTATAATTCTGCCTCTCAAATATTTAAATCCAGAAAAGAAAGAAACAGGGGCCAGCACTGTGGTGCTAATCTTTGAAAGAAATAAGAAATTAAAATTAAAATAAAAAAATCAAGCATTACACCTAAACCTAAGCCCAGGCCTGCACCCCAGGCATCCCATATTGGTGCTGGTTCAAGTCCTAGCTGCTCCACTTCTGATTCAGCTCCCTGCTAATGTGCCTGGGAAAGCAAAGGAAGATGGCCCAAGTCCTCGGGCCTCTGTGCCTATCTGGAGTTCTGGAAGAAACTCCAAAGCCTGGCCTTTCTCAGTCATTGCAGCCATTTGGGGGCTGAAACAACAGATGGGAGATCTCTCTCTCTCTCTCTCTCACCGCCTTTCAAATAAATAAACTAAACTTTTAAAAAATAAGAAATGAAAATTAAAATAAGAAAATCAACTGGTAGACTAGAGCCAAACCTAAGCCTATCAATCAGTACTTTAAATGGTGGTGCTATCAATCCTCCAAAGGTTGATTGGGTGAAAAACTATAACTCTAATAAATGTTGTCCACAAAAGGCCATGTTAAATGTAAAGGCATAAATATGTTGAAAGAAAATTAATGAAAAGACATTATATATATATATATATATATGAGTGTGTGTGTGTGTGTGTGTGTGTGTATAAAAATATCTCCAATCTAACCAGAATGCATAAGAGAGCAAGTGTGGTTCTTTCACTATCTGGTAAAAAAGAGTTTGAAACCAAGATTATTATCAAGATAGAAATAATTAAGGGAAATTCACCAGGAAGACATAACCACAAATATGTTACACATAACAGAGCCCCAAAGATGCAGCAAAAAGGGACAGGACTAAAGAACAAAGGAGACACCTTCACAATCACAGCAAGAAACCAGCCTGTCAGCAAATAACAGACAAAACCCAGAAAAGACGGAGTCTGAGCAACACTACCAGCTACCTCCCCTAACTGAACCCTCCAATTTATAACATTCAAGCACACTTCAAAAAGGTCTTGGGGGGGCAGCTGTTTGGCCTAGTGGTTAAGACCCCCGCACTCTGGTAAGAGCCTGGTTTGAGTCCTGCCTTGGGCTCTTGACTCCAGAGTCCAGTGCAGACGCTGGGGGGCAAGAGTGATGGCTCACGTGGTTGGGTTCCTGCCACCCAAGTGGGACACCTGGATTGAGTCTCCAATCCCAGCCAGTGAGGGCATTTGGGGAGTGAACCAGTGGATGGGGCTCTCTCTAATAAACACACTTCGTAAAAAATTTCTTTGAATTGCTTTAAAGTATAAACATTTCTGAAGAATTCAAATGTGCATTGTCCGTGAACTTCCTGAAACCCCTTCTTCCCAGCAAAGCTAGAATCAACATGAATGATGTGAGCCTTCACCCTTAGAGACCAGAAGAGGCCGAGCCCAGTAAACCCGAGTCTGGCCTCACAGCCCCTCTGATTTCCAGTTTCCTAACTGGTTTGCCCCGGTGAAACGAGTCTGTCAAAGACAGAACAAAGAGGGCCCTTCAGTAATGAGGCTTAATCTAGCTGGGAACCCTGCCTGAGCTAGAAAGCAAGTGTGGTCACGAAAGAGACATGAAGACTTTGGCTGATTCCTCAGGAGCCCAGCAGGCCTGGTGCCAGGTGGCTGGAGCACCTGTGCCGCCCTCAGGCGTGTGGGCCCCGAGAGGGCGCTTCTTTCTGCCTGTGAGTCAGGGCCAAACGGCGGGAAAGGGACACAGGAAGCCGGAACGAGCTCCTCACACAGCAAACGCTGTTCTTAAAGGACCTCCTCCAGGCTTTCCAGGGGTACAAACCCCAGTCACGTCCTCTCCACAGCTTCCTGCGTCTGAAGAAGCACCCCCACCCCGCTGCTCTCCCTCTGCTGTTCCCTAAAAACTGCCTCCATCTTCATCTGCCTCCCACTTCCTGGGAACCCCGGGTTCACGCTCGGTGCGACGCTGGGAGTGGGAACCCGCGCAGGGGGCTTCTACTCATGGGTCCACACTCGGTGGGAACAGAGGTGGGGTCTCCCACCCGCTGGACCCACCAAGGCCCGGTCCCTTTGGTAGGGACCCGCGCTGCCCCGGGACCTCCGGCGACCCAGGCGCCTGCGCAGGCTCCTTGTTCCCAGGACGGCCTCCGCAACTGGGACCCCTGGGCCCCCGACCGCGCGAGCCCACGGCCGTTGGGCCACCCCGCGACCATCGGCTCCCAAGGGCGGCGCCATGCGGGCTGGGCCAGCGGTCCTCCTCCTCAGCCTGGGCCTGGGCCTGGGCCTGGGCGGCCTGCCACCGGCTCCAGCTCCGGCTCCGCGCCAGTCCAGCACCGCCGGCCCCGGGTGGCCGGCCCCGCCATGCGGCCACTTCCACGGAGGCGCCCTCCGCGGACGCCACGCCCGCCTCAGCCTGCCACGCCTCCCGGCCCCGGGGGGCGGCGCCCTCCTGAGCCGCAGCCGCGGCCTCTGCTTCTCCGGTGCCCCGCGGCGCGCGGCCGCGCCTGGCTGGTACCGCCTCAGCGTGCGGGTCCGGCGCCGCACCCGTCGCTGCCTGCCGGGACTCGCGGCGCCGCCGCCCGTCGCCCTGCACCTGGCAGCACCCGGGGGCCGCCTGGCCCTGGCCTGGTTCCTGCTGCTGCCGCTGCCCCTGAGGCGCCCGCTGGGGCCCCTGGCCTGGACCTTCCAGCTGGGGCTGCTGGGGCCTGGGGACGCCCGCCCGGCCCGCCACGCCGCCCGGGCCCAGCGCTTAAAGCCTCGCTCGGTCCTGCCTGCGCTCCCGCGCGCCCACACCGGCTTTGTGGCGCAAACGCGGTATCCCACAGATGGGCCGGTGCCTGTTGTCTTGCAAGCCGTGAATTCGTCCAGCCAAGTCATAGTGCAGTCTTCCTGTCCGATGGATTTCTGCGTAATCTATCAGGTGAGGATCAACAGGGACGCAGGCGTTACTGCTGTGCGCTTGACCAGGAATGAAGGGGACACCCTCAACGCCACCATCAACATGGACTGCCCATCATATCGATCCATGGACCAAAGATGGCTGGTGTTCTCGGTGCTTGCAGAGGGCGATGTGCCCGACTGGAATCAGCCTTTGGATGTGCCTCAGTTGCCAATAGGAAGCCGCCCCACCATCATCCACATCCCCCCTGCGTCCCTATCTTGGGGGGTGTACTTGTTTAATTTCTCAGTGACCATCACCACGCTATATCCCATTATGTCTAGAATCCGAGACTCAGACTCGATCTATATCTGGATCCTAAGAAGCCCCCTGGTCGCTGTTCTTGGTGGAGACGCCAATATCACATCTAATTATAAAGATGAGGTGATTCTGGATGGAAGCATGTCCTCTGACCCGGAAGAAAACATCAAATTGCAGGGGCTCCGTTTTATCTGGTACTGTACCACAAATAAAAAAAACTACGCTAGAGATCGAATACAAGTGGCAAGCAAGGACGTGTGTCACCCAGACCAGGCTGATCTGAGGTGGCCACAGGCTTCTAACCCTGTGCTAACACTTTCCCCAGGAACGCTTCAAGGGGGCCGTGAATATTTCTTCAGAATGGCGATACAGAAGGGTGGCCGAAGAGCATTTTCTGATAAAACGGTAAATGTGCTCCAAGGACCACCTCCTTTGGCACACATTTCATGTATTGAGAATTGTGGCAGCAATTTAATTGTATCAGATCGGTTTTCTTTGTACCTAAATTGCACGGACTGTGTAAGCAGTGACTTCTATAACTGGTCAATTGTGTCTGAGTCAGGAGCTGAGATGCCACTTGATTGGATGGGGCAAACTGTAACAGGGAGAAATGGTGCTTATTTGTCTGCAAAAGCTTTTGCCTTCAGTCATTGTTTGGAAGCAAATTACTGGGTTTCTGTGCAAGTAACCAGTTGGGGTGGGAAGACCCTGGAATTCAAGCATCCCATTATTCTTAACCATGGTCCTCAAACAGGAGAATGCACAGTGAAACCAGCTAAAGGAATTGCATTTGTTACTAAATTTGTTGTCCGGTGTAGCAATTTCACAGATAAGCACACCCCCCTTACATATAAAATGATAGTTTCTGATTTGGAAGGCATTGCAGAAATCAGTTCAGTAAAAGAGAACACCTTGGGGCCCATCTTGCACTTTGGGAGAGACTTTACCACACCCCCTTCCTTTCTCCCTGTTGGTGTGTCAGCTGATGGTTACAAACTGAGGATATTTGTTCAGGTTTATGACTCTCTAGGAGCTTTTTCTCAGGTGACTTTGGGCGCCACTGTAGAGCCTCCCACTAGTAAAAACTCATCCAAGATGGTGTTGGATCAGTTACTCAATTCTACCATGGGACCAAATTCATCGCTATCTGTTCTGCTTCGAGACCAGAAATTTTTATCCTCAGGTTACTTAATGTATGTAGTGGGTTCTGTTTTGAATAGCATGAAAACTGAATCAACTCTCCAGGGTGACAAAGCCAGGCTCCGAGAACACCTTGTCAATCAGTCTTCTGTTCTCCCAGTGAGCACTTTGGAGGAAATCAACCAGGTAGTCGTGACTGTTACCAAATTAACCCAGAAAGCCTCTGAATTCACTCGAACTGCCCAGAAAAGTGCCACAGTGAGGATGTGGCAAGCAAATAAAGGCCTACAAGAGTATCGACGGAAAGATAAACACTTTAGCTGTGAACAAATAGAAATCATAGGCTCTGGAATATTAACAAGTTTGTCTAATATCCTGAAACAGATTGCTCCTCACAAAGTGGTGGAAGATCCTTTCCACCTAGCAGAATCACTGGCAGACACCATACTGGCTTGTATGGTGCCAGGGAATAAAACAGCAATGAAGAGCGCCAGCATTAACATGTTTTTGGAGAAAGCTGAGAAGCAGAATGTGACCCAGGTCTTCAGAAACAAGAAAGACTGCCCAAACTGTTTTCAGGCAACACTCAATGGGAGCACAGTTCCTGGTCTGCCCGCAAAGGCTGTAGTTTCTACAATGTTTTGTGAGTTTGCAGACGACCCCTTTCCTTGGTTACATCATCCAGAAAAAATTTCAACCCAGGTGGTTGGTTTCAGAATGTATGGAGCTGCTGAAAATGGGGATGCGATAGAGATCACGCCCAGTGTGGTGGACGTGTACCTCAACAGGAAAAACTTGACTTTTGCAGCTTTTAATCTCACAGTGGGACCCGAGGAGGTCAGCGAGTCCTCGAAGAAGACAACAGGGGGGTTTAGCTTTGAAGTGGACCACAGAGAAGTTACGGAGGTGCTGGTCCACATTGTGACAGAAGTGACTGTGTTGTTCAAGGTGCTGGTGTACGCAGGCAGTCGGGTCACCCCCACTGGTCTGGTCACAACCTTCCTCGTGCCTTATGACATCCCTCCGATTGCCAACCAGAGTGACCAGTTTGACCCTGACTGTGCAGTTAAGGAGGCCCGTGTGATCTGCCTCCCAGTGTCCCTGCTGCAAGTCATAGCTCAGCATAGCCAGTCGCCCACATGTGCCATAATCATGATGCTGGAGGCACCTCGTTTCGTCCAGAAGCCCAATAACAAGCTTGTGAAAATTTTTCTTTTCAGTGCCCACTGCCTGGGTATGTACCAGATCCAGAGTGACTGGAGAGAAGATTACTGTAGCCTCGGTGAGAGGACCACCTGGCAGAGAGTGCACTGTGTCTGCAAGAAAATGGGGAGGATCAAGCGGCACCTGAGGATAAGTGAGCTAGCCAAGACTGACTTGCATACCCACTACTTGACATCCAATGTCACTGTGTTCCCTAATCCTGTGGATCTGTGGTTAAAGACCACAAAGAATGTGAGTCAAAACCCTGTGACCCTTTTCAATGTGGTTTTTATATTGCTCATATACATCATCCTAGCTTTCTGGGCCCTGCACAGGGATGAAATGGATGAGTTTGTTCACCACCATATCATAGTTCTATCTGATAATGATCCTTATGATAAAATATGCTACCTGGTCACTGTTTTCACAGGAAGTCGATGGGGATCTGGGACCAGGTCCAATGTCTTTATTCAGCTTATTGGAACAGAGGGTGCCAGTAGTACACATTGTTTAAGCCACCCTAGTTTTACCACTCTGTACCGGGGAAGCATCAACACTTTCCTCCTAACAACTAAAAGTGACCTGGGGGACATCCATTCCATTCGTGTCTGGCACAACAATGAAGGCACATCGCCTAGCTGGTATTTAAGTCGAATCAAGGTGGAAAATTTATTCAGCAGACATATCTGGCTTTTCATGTGCAGGATCTGGCTTTCTGTAGACACCACTACGGACAGGACGTTTCAGGTTACCCAACCAGACCAGCCTCTGAGAAAAAAGGACTTCTTTCTGATTGATATTTCTAATAGGCTAGGGAGAAACCACTTGTGGTTCTCTATTTTTGCTAGTGTTGTTTCTAAATCATTCAACAGGCTCCAAATGTTGTCCTGTTGTTTAGCATTGCTGCTAAGTGCTCTCTTCTGCAACATTATGTTCTTTAATCTAACAAAAGAGGAAGAAACATTGTCAAATGAGTTGCGTTACTTCAGATCAATGTCCATAGGGATTATAAGTACCCTAATTACAGTCCCTTTGGTATTATTAATAACAATTCTGTTCATCAATTCTCAGAGGAAACATCAGGTGGATCTAGATAAGGTAGCTCCTCGCATGCATCCTGTTATGTCAGAAGAGAGTGCTTACTGGGATGATCGTTTGAACAAGTGGCATGTTCATGAGACTGCTGAGGAAGGCTCCAAGAAGCCTGTCAAGCTTGCATCCCACGAGAAGACCAAAACCCAGACAGAGCCCACATCCAAGAGGAAGCCTGCACGACCCAAGGCTTCTGCAAAGGCAACCTTGAAATCTGTATCCAGGCATGTGACAGAAGAAACCAAGGACGCTAAGGTCCATCCAGCCAATAAAAACTTCAGTAACAAAAATGTAGCAGAAAATGAAGATGTTTATACCGGAGCAACTTCTTCCGAAGAAGAAGAACAACTTGAAAAAAAGCCGCAGATGGTACTGCCTCCGTGGTGTCTGTACATAGCATGGTTCTTGGTGTTTGCCACTTCCAGCATATCTGCCTTCTTTATCATCTTTTACGGACTGAATTATAGCTACAACAAGTCGATAGAATGGCTCTTTGCCTCTTTTTGTTCATTCCTTATGTCAGTTTTTGTGGAACAGCCATGTAAAATTATACTGGTGTCAGGCCTCCGAACAATGTGGCCGAAGTATTGTAAAAACATCCCGTGGTCCACCAAGTATCGTTACATTCAGTTGCTGCTCCCCAGCACAAGAATGAATCCAGATGAGAGGAAGAAGCTGCACGAGCACATCGTTAAAATCCAAGGGTCCAGGATGTACCAACCCCTGACAGAAGATGAAATCAGAATATTCCAAAGGAAGAAGAGGATCAAGAGGAGGGCCTTCCTGTTTCTGAGTTACATCCTCATCCACTTTATCTTCCTAGTCCTTCTGTTGCTGCTCATTGTCCTGCTGCGTCACACCGACAGCTTCTACTACAACCAGTTTATTCGTGATCGCTTCTCTGTGGACCTGGCTTCTGTGACGAAGCTGGAGGACATCTACAGGTGGCTCGAGAGCGTGCTGGTGCCTTTGTTCCACAATGACCAGAATCCAACATTTCTCCTTGACAGCTCGTCCAAAATCCTTGGCCTTCCACTCATGAGGCAAGTGAGAGCAAAATCCGGTGAGAAGATGTGCCTGCCTGCCGCAAACTTCGTGCAGAACAGCAACATAAAAGAAATCCGTTGTCGTCCCCAATATGGCGTTGACCCAGAAGACACAAAAAACTATTCTAGCTTTTGGAATGAAGTGACCAAGCGGCAGACAGGCAAGAACACCACCGGGTTTACTTACAAGCCGCAGGGAAAGCGATGGGTGTACTATTCCTATGGGCTGTTACATACCTATGGAGGAGGGGGCTATGTGTTCTATTTTTTTCCATCAGAGCAGCTGTTTAATTCCACAGTGAGGCTCAGAGAACTCCAAGGAAGCAGTTGGCTTGATGAGAAGACATGGGCTGTGGTTTTGGAACTAACGACTTTTAATCCCGACGTGAACCTGTTCTGTAGCATTTCTGTCCTGTTTGAGGTCTCTCAGTTAGGAGTTGTCAACACGAGCATATCTATGCACTCGTTCTCACTTGCTGATTTTGACCGGAAAACTTCAACAGAAATTTACTTGTATGTGGCCATTCTCATTTTTTTCTTAGCCTACATTATTGACGAATTCTATGTCATTATACAAGAAAGAGCCTCCTACGTGCAAAGTGTGTACAATCTACTCAACTTGGCTTTAAAATGCATATTTACTGTGTTGATTGTGCTGTTTCTCAGGAAGCATTTCTTGGCCACAGCTGTGACTCAGTTCTACTTGTCGAACCCCGAAGACTTCATTCCCTTTCATGCGGTTTCTCAAGTAGATCACACTATGAGGATAACTTTGGCTTTCCTGTTATTTCTGACAATTTTGAAGACCCTCAGATATTCCAGAGCCTTCTATGACGTACGCCTGGCTCAGAAGGCCATCCAGATCGCACTTCCCGGCATCTTCCACATGGCATTTGTGGTGTCCATTTATTTCTTTGTGTACATGGCTTTTGGTTACCTCGTATTTGGTCAGCACGAATGGAATTACAACCACTTGATTCACGCCACTCAGACGATATTCTCATATTGCGTCTCAGCTTTTCAAAACACTGAGTTTTCCCATAACAGGGTTCTTGGGGTCCTGTTCCTCTCATCTTTCATGCTGGTTATGATTTGCATCTTGATCAACTTATTCCAGGCAGTGATCTTGTCTGCTTATGAGGAAATGAAGCAGCCAGTATATGAGGAACCATCAGACGAAGTGGAAGCTATGACCTACCTGTGTCGCAGGCTGAGGACTATGTGTGGCTTAATGACCCCCAAATCAACGGCCAAAGATGAGCCCGAGTTCTTCTCCGACATGCTATATGGACAGCCTGAGAAGAAGAGCCAGCGGTACCTGGGGCTGAAGACCAGAAACATTACTGGGAAGAAGAAGGTGTACCTGGTGATTTGATTGATGGCAGTTTTAATAGTGTCTAACAATGACTTTCTCCCCAAATGCTAAGCATGTGGGATCAAGATTAGGAATACTTATTGGCCTGCTCATGCTCTTGACCCATCTCCTTCACTCTGCACTCCTGTTATATATGGAAGAATCCCCACACTTTGCCTCTGCTTTAGGGAACGTGAAATGGGATACACTGTAGCATCTGGGAGACTTCTAACATTCAGTGGAGTCTTGGATTGGCTTCTGTTTTTGAGGTGAGTTCCATGACTCCTGCTATTGGTAATCCTCCTTTCTTTGGAGCTTGAAACAGTATAGAGGAAGTAGAACCACTGGTTTTGTGACCAGATTTGGGGGTGAGAGCTTATGACCTGACCCAGTGTGGACCAGGCTCCAACTAGTGGCTTCTATGTGACCTAGGCTGCTTGAAAGAGTCTCTGACTGGCCTATCTAGGATTCCCCTTTGTGGACCATGGCTATGGAGCTCTGTTCCCACAGTTCCTGCCTGGTCAGGCTAGAGGTGTCTTGAGGACAGTCCTAGGGCTTCCTTTGGTACTTGAGAATGCAGGGATGGAAGCCAGATCAGAACCCTGAAGCTTCCCATTCACCCCTCAAGGCGACTGCCAGTTAAAGTAAAATCCAGATAGAGTTCTTGTGCAAAAACGTTTGTATGAGTTGATATTGAAATACAGAAAATCTTGTATATGTAGCAGGTTGTGTGCATTTGGTTATTTGTGCATGGCAGATTATTTACAAAGAAGGAAAAATTGGTTAATCATTTAAGAGATAAAAGGGTTCTGTCCAGAGCATAGCTTCATTATACAGCACCTTTCTGTAACAAGACTTCTGCACAGATGGAGAAAAAGTGTAAACTTGGGGCCAAAGGATTCACAGAACAAATGGGTCAAAAGTCAAGTGCAGGCACAGCTAAACAGGCCTGCCTTTGGGCTGCTACTGACAGGGAGGCAGACTCCTGTGGTCAGTGGCTGGGTGTGCCCTGGCACTCTCCCCTACTTCAGCATCACCTATATTCTCTGACCCTCTACAAGGGCATAAATTTGCTCAAGGTTACAACAGTTGGCTTCCCTTCCCAGGAGGGAAGCACGAAGTGTTGGGGAGAAGAGTTCCCACCTAGGAGGCCAGCTACCATGTTGATGGGGAGCTGTGTAGCACTTGAGAGTTCCTGAAGATGAAGGGAGGCTCAGGTCATAAACACGCACCCACGTGGGCAGTTGTAGCCAGAGAGGCTCCAGGGAACTGCTGAGGCCCAGGGAATGGGAGAAGCCAGGAAGGGGACCAGGACAAACTGATGACTGTCAGATGAGGACTGGGGGCAACAGCTAACAGTCTTCCTGCGAGTCCAGATTCTCAGCTTCAAGGTGAAATGGAAATGTGGCCGAGCTGCGAGATTTCTTCTATGCACATGAGAAGTCAAGAGAGTATCAGGACCCGCAACAGCTTCTGCAAGTGCTTCAGGAAGTCTTTGTTCAACTGTTTTTCCAGGGATGGGGCAGGTGTAGTCCAGAACACCTGGCTGCAGTCCAAGGAATTCTTGGGCTTGTTTCCCATCTAGCTCCCGATTAACTCCCTGGGGTTGCATTTTACATGCAGGGCTCTCTCTCCCTCCATAACCTCACCAAACAAAGAACTGGCCCTTGCTCCTCCTCAAGCTATTTTGTTATTGTGTTGACGTGTATATTTAAGGTGTGCTTCAGGAATTTCAGTTACCACTAAACAAATGTCTTTAGACCCCAGTGTTATTGGCAGCAATGGCAAGAGGTGGACTGGCCTGTTTGTACCTGCAAATTGGGTGCCATGGGCTTACTCTCCTACAGTAACTCCCCACCCCCACGCCCTGTTGTTATTAGCAATTCTGTTATTTTAGACTTAACCTGCCGTCTGTTGTTTTCAATGTGGACCTGCAGTGGCCAGAAAATCATCTCTGCAGAATTTACTAATGGCCCCTGCAGTTCCAAGGCATACTTCTCCCTGGCAGTAAACAATCTTAGGCCGTTTGGGGATGGGAGAGCAGCAAGCAGGGACGGTCCCCCAGGCACAGGTGAAAACCCACTGCTGCTGGGCTGAGGGTGGTCTCCAGCTGGCTGGAGCTGGCGCACAGGCAAAGCCGGGACTGCTGGCTTCAGCATCCAAGGCCCGGCCCCACAGGTGCTGGAGTGGGGGGCCGCTCGGGGTTCTCGGGGCTGGGACACCGCTGGAGACTGCTGGAACCAGGGCTAGGCTCAGGTGCAGTCCACCGGGGGTGGGGTTGGGGCTTGCGGGCCGCCTTGATGCTTTCTAGGTGGACGGTGGGTGACAGGTCCCGAGGAGACGCTCCATTAAGGTCGCAGAAGACAGGGCTCGCTTTAACCCACCGTGTCCTGATGGGGAAGAGGCAGCAGCAGCCCCCGGGCCGGCGCGGGACCGACCTGTATGGCAGGACCAGCGAGCAACCCCGGACGGGCCCAGACACGCCGGCCGCCAGGCAGAACCCCAGCACCCAGGCTGCCCCAACGCCCATGACACCGCGGCTCCTGGGACCGGAACGACGGCACCCGGGCGGAAGTCGACTGGGACGCCTGGTCGGAACTGCGCCTGCGTCGTCCCGGCGCCCGGCGCCGAGGAGCGGGGCCGCGCAGGCGCCGTGGGACTCGGAGCTGCACGGAGCTGCGCGGTGACGGAGGTGAGTGCCGGCGTCGGTCGGGGAGGGGGCGCGCGTCTGCGGTCCTCCCGGCGTCCTGGGCCCTGGGGCCGGGCCTGACGCCCCTGGGAAGGCTCGGGGCCGCGGAGCCGGAGCGCAGAGGGGGACGGCGGCGCCCCGGGCGAGCCCGCCCGCCCACGCCGTCCCTTCCGGCGCTGCTCCTGCCGGCGGGGCGCCGCCCCTACGCACTCCAGGATACGGTGTCAATGTTTTTAGGAATTACCCTGCTGAAATGCAGAGAGAAAAGAGTGAAAAAAACCAACGCAGATCAGAACATCCAAGAACGTGGAGCCATGTCAAACGGTGTAAGACGTTTCTTGTTGGAATCTCAGCTGAAGAGAAAAAAATATATTTTCCTAACGAATAAAAGGTCCAAAGTAGGAATCAAAGGCTTTGCTTCAAGAAACACCATCTTTGTACGCTACATTTATGAAGGTACCTCAGAAAGCTTGTGGAGCAGATTCATTATCTTAAAAATTTGAGAGAGCGGAACATGTAGATGCTGATTCATTCCCCCCAAAGTCCTGTAATGGCCAGTGCTGAACTGGGTCAAAACCGGAATCCTGGAACTCAGTCCACGTCTTCCCTATGAGTGCAGGCACCCAGGTACTAGAGCTATCACTGCCACCTCCCAGGATCTGCAGTTAGGAAGCTGGAATCAGGAGGCAGGGTCAGGCCCTGATGAGCCCAGCTACTCTGATGTGAGACCTGCACATTTTAACCGCTAGGACAAAGGCCTGCCGCAACATTATCTTTCAATTCCCTTTTCCGTGAACTGTTTGAAGTACTCTCCTGTTGAAATAGCTCGAGGTCAAAGATGACATGATCAGGAAGCCAGAGGGATTCCATGGTTGCACAGTAGAGGTGCAGGGAAAGCCTCTTAGGTGGAAGGCACGGCAGGAAGGAAGGCAAGGTGAGAGTGCGCCAGGAATATTGCAGGATAAGCCCTGAACCACTGGAACTGCTGACTGCGGGTGGGGGCAATGATGTGGGAAGAGGCAGAAGGACACAGAATAGACCTTGGATCCCAAAGAGGGGAGTTAATTCTTCAGTCAGTTGAGGAGCCACGTAGATCTTAAGTGGGAGAACAGCACTTTCCCCCACCAACACCCAAAGCCTTGGATTAGGTAAATGCTGTTGAATTTCTCATGCTTTTTCTACATCTGTTGGAATGATTACATACGGTTGCTGTCGTGGACTGCATTCATTGGATTTGTTATTATTATTTTTTTTTTAACACATTTTATGTTCTTGAAACTGGTTTGTAGTTTCCCTGTAATGGCTTTGTCTGGTGTTATTGAGATAATCCTGGCGGTTTTGGTGTCTTCATAAAATCACTGAGAACGTGTTCCTTTGTCCTGTAGGTTCTGAGATAGTACAAACCAGACTTTTTCTTGTATTACTTTTTCCTTTAAGTGCTAACAGTGTTTGACTAGATATCTGCACCTGAAGGGTTTTTATGTGTTCTTTTATTTCATTCCCAGGGGATGTATCATTAGGAATTCAGTTTCCTTAGTAGATAAAGGACTATTGCAGCTCCCAGTTTATTCTTGAGTTATGTTTTGATAATTGGTGCTTTTGAAAGAAATCTATCTCATCTGAAATTTCAAATTTATTGCTAAAAAGCTGCTTACAAATTCTCACCATCCTTTCAGTGCCTCCAGTCTCAGTGCTGTCCCCTCTTTCATTCGGAGTCATGGGAATGTGTGTTTCCTTTTTTCTTGATAAGTCCAGTTAAAGGTTATTAATTTTGTTAATCTTTTGACATCCACAGCTTTGGTTTTATTATGCTTTTTGTTTCTTTAATTTCTGTTTTTCATTATGTTCTGTTTCCTATTCACATTGAATGATTTGTTTTTTTTTATAGTTTTAAGGTAGAAATTTATTTTTCCTAAATATTTTATTTATTTGAGAGTTAGAGTTACAGACAGTGAGAGGGAGAGACAGAGAGAAAGGTCTTCCATCTGCTGGTTCATCCCCAAATAGCCACAACGGCCGGAGCTGTGCCGATCCAAAGCCTGGAGCCAGTAGCTTCCTCCGGTCTCCCACACGGGTGCAGGGGCCCAAGGACTTGAGCCATCTTCTTTTGTTTTCCCAGGCCATAGCAGAGAGCTGGATTGGAAGAGGAGCAGCCGGGACTAGAATCGGCGCCCATATGAGATACTTGCGCTGCAGGCAGAGGATTAACCTACTGTGCCACAGCGCCGGCCCCTAAGGTAGGAATTTATTTATTTATTTATTTTAAAGATTTATTTATTTACTTGAAAGTCACAGAGAGAGGAGTTGCAGAGAGGTAGAGAGAGAGAGAGGTCTTCTATCCACTGGTTCACTCCCCAGATGGCTGCAAGGGCCAGGGCTGGGCTAGGCTGAGGCCAGGAGCCAGAAGCTTCTTCTGGGTCTCCCATGTCGGTGCAGGGGCCCAGACACCTGGACTGTTTTCTGCTGCTTTCCCAGGCTATTCACAGGGAGCTGGACGCGGAGCAGTCAGGATATGAACCAGCATTCATGTGGGACGCTGATCGCAGGCAGCAGTGTTACTTGCTGTGCCACAAGGTGACCCTGTCATCAATTTTTAGTTTAACCATTTGGGGCTGGATTAGGTATTTGATGATTTCAGCATTCCAAAGTTCAAGGTGTGTTTAATGGCCTACCACCTAATCTTCTGTTGAGTATGTCACATGTACTTAACTATAACGTGTGACCAAGAAACCTTTCTTGCTTGCTCCGACCTGAGTTTTCTTGTCTGCAGGAGGGGCCTGGCCCTGTGTCGGTGAGAAGTCAGCAGGCTGGGTGCGCTTCAAGGTGCTGGTGGTGGCCTTTCTGAAGGTGACGGGCTGTGTCTCTGGCCCTTGCAGATGGCGGGTGAGGCAGAACACCATGCCCTAGGTGTGTTTGAGTGCCAGCTGTGTGCCTTGACAGCTCCCTACAGCTACGTGGGCCAGAAGCCTCCCAACACCCAGTCTGTTGTGTGAGTACACGCTGTGTGGGCTATTCCCCCGGATGGCCCTGTGCAGAACTGGTTGGTGGCCCCTGTGAGTCGGACTCCTGGCTGGAGGTTGGTGCTCTAGGCCCATCGCTACCCAGGCTCTGGAATATTCAGGTATGACCTAGGAGGCACCAAAATGGTTTCAGTGCCATCTGACTCTTCCAGAATCCCAGCCTCTATTTATCCCATGCAGACCAGGGTTTGGCACTTGCTCCATTCGGGGCCCTCAAGCACAGTGGCACAGGCTGGGGCAGCGCGGCTGCAGGGCACAGGGAGCACGGTGCCACGGCCTCATTTGGTGACTCTGCAGGTAGAAAGCCCATGTCTGGCTGTCTTTATGCTGCTGGGAGTGAGTCCTGAGGACTCACCGGGTTCTAGTCCCGGTCAGGGCGCCGGATTCTGTCCCGGTTGCCCCTCTTCCAGGCCAGCTCTCTGCTGTGCCCCGGGCACAGGTCAGAGCAGATCGCCAGGCTGCTGGGCTTGTTTCTTGGCCCCCAGCTTATGCTTCGTCCAATGTCCCACTGTAGACAAGCTGACCAGTGTGGTTCTCAGGTGGGACACAGTGGCGGGGGACCAGGCGTCATTGGGCTTTGGCTGTCACGTGCACCCTATGGGTCTCGTTCTGATGTGCAGTGTGAGGCTCCCTGCTTGTGGTGTTGGGGAGGGCTGGGGTGCTGGCATGAACCCTGGTGGCGCCACCCCGCTGCATGGGCTCGGGAAGGCCAGCATTGCTGCTCCCACTGGGTTTGCTCCAGGCAAGGCGGCCCCTGTGACAGCGTTTCACCCACAGGCTCCTGGAGGAGAGCTACGTCATGAAGGATCCCTTCTCCTCGGACAAGGCCACGTTCCTGGTGCTGGGCTCGCGGTGCAGCTTATGCAGCAGGCTGGTGTGTGTGGGCCCGGTACGTAAGTGGCGTGGACACCCTCGCAGCCTTCCAGGACACCACGTGGGTAGAGGGGAGCGCTCTGTCAGCGGGTCCGCCCTGGTTCAGATGGAGCTCTGCAGCCAACTCCAGGCCCAGGCCTCAAAGGAGGGCACGCGAGGCTGAGTGAAAGGGGCTCAGCCTGGGGTGAGGAGCAGAGAGAGGTTCCTAGGGGCTCTGTGCGAAGTCCCCACCAGCAGTGCAGTGACCGTCTTTCTGGATGTCCTGGGAGGGACCTCCAGAAAGTATTGTTCCTCTCTGAACAGACGGTACCGCATCTGGTGCGTGCCTGGTCCTGTGCCAGGGACCGTTTTACAAGTGCAGCTTCTCTTAGTCATGCCCTAAAGCTAGTGAGGAAAAGTAGCCTTACACCCACTATTTTTTTTTTAAATTTATTTATTTGTTTGAAAGGCAGAGATACAGACAGAAAAGGAGAGAAAGAACTTCAATCTGCTGGTTTACTCCCTCAGTGGCCACAACAGCCAGGGTTGGGCCAGGCTGATGCTAGGAGCTTCTTCCAGGTCTCTCACGCGGGTACCAGGGCCCAAGCAGTTGGGCCTTCTGCTGCTGCTTTTCCAGGCATTAGCAGAGAGCTGGATCGTATGTGGAGCAGCCAGGTCTTGAAATGGCACCCATATTGGATGCCAGCACTGCAGTCAGCTGCCTAACCTTCTACACCACAGTGCCCGCCCTTACACCCACTTTAAAGGGAACTGAGCTTCAGAGAGATAAGTGGGCCGAGTTCAGCTGGATAGCTGAGTTGCTGTTTGGAGTCCCGAGGATGGACTGAGGTCAGGAGTGTGGCTGTTGTCACTAGAGTGGTCCTGGAGTCTTGAGAAGTCCCTGGGCGTCCGCTAGGGGCACACGCACACAGGGAAGCTGTGTCACAGCCATGCCGAGCCGTCAGCTCCTGTCCTGCTAAGGTCAGTAGGTGAACCAGGTTGGGGGTGGGTGGAGCCTCAGCACGGGCAAAGGCATGAAAGAGGGAGAGCCCGAGTTTCCTGGAGGAGCTAGCGGGGCTGTGGCTGTGGAGGTAGAGAATGAAGGTGGGAATGGTGGGGTGGGGTGGGGTGGGGTAGCCTGGTGCAAGGCCTTGAATGCTGTACCTTGGACTTGCGCTGCACTGGGCAAGCAGGGGGATGGGCCCATGTGGCGTCAGAAATCCCCAACTGACTGGCACTGTGGCTTAGTGGGCTACGCCTCTGCCTGTGGTACCAGCATCCCATATGGGCACTGGTTAGATTCCCGGCTGCTCCTCTTCCGATCCAGCTCTCTGCTGTGACCTGGGAAAGCAGGGGAAGATGGCCCAAGTGCTTGGGTCCCTGCATCTGCCCAGGAGACCCATAGGAAGCTCCTGGCTCCTGGCTTCAAATAGGCGCAGCTCAGGCCATGCGGACATCTGGGGAGTGAACCAGCGGATGGAAGACCTTTCTATCTGTCTCTCCCTTTCTGTAACTCTGCTTCTCAAATAATAAATGAAATCTTTTTTTAAAAAAAGTGCCCATCTGTGAATAAATGAGGAGTCGTTAGTGAGTGGTCTCCCTGTCAGCAGAGAGCTTCTGAGAACTCTAAGGGGGGGCGTCCCGGCTTAATTGAGGTGTTCTTGCTGGAGCAAAGGCACTCCCCAACAGTGGCCTCGGGCACATCATTGATGGCTCGTTTTTCTTCTGTGCAAGGGTCCAGAACAGGTGGTCCTGGCTGGACCAGCCCTGCTGACATCCCCCACCCACAGCATCCGCTTGGGCCCAGTGTGGCTGTTGCACCTCCTGCTATCACATCCACATCCGAGCTAGGAAAGGACAAGGGACACACTCCCGTTCCTTCTAAGGGCCTGACTAGGAGGCTGCTGACACCCGTGTCCAGACAGTCCCGTGGCTGTGCCCAGTGGCATGGGGTTGGAGTGCTGTCTAGCTGGGTGCTGCACACCAGGTTGGGTCCCAGGGGTTCTAGTGTTGAAGACGGCAGGCGATGGGACATGGTTGGACAGTTGTGGCTTCCTGCCCAGAACAGCCGCTCCTCCACAGCCTCCTTGGTCTGTGGGTCTGTACCTCCCATGTCTGGCTGTGGTAACTGGACAGAGAGGACACTAGGAGTCCTGGGTCTGGGTGTGGCCCGTGCTGCATGCACCTGTCCTGATGGAGTCTGTGGGTTGTGTCCCAGCCTGGATAGCCAGGCTCTCACTGCCTCTCTCCTGGACGCCCTGCCAGGCCCTCATGCCCCTGCTGTCCCTCTCGCGGGTCTGGCTCTGGCCGCCCTTACCCCATGCACCCTGGCCGGCCCCGGGAGAAGCTGCAGTGTGCTCGCAGGTGCTCAGCCCTCCCTCCCCTGCCTCTCAGGAATGCAGTCTGTTCTACGCCAAGCGGTTCTGCCTGCCTTGCGTCCGACAGCACCTCAGTGCATTCCCACAGGAAATTCGGCAAGACGTGGAGAAAAGGACCGCCCCCTCCAAGAAGATCTCCAGCCAGCACAGGTCTCAGACATGAGCTGGGGCCAGGCAGTGGGCAGCACCCTGCAGAGCTGGCTGCCTGGGGCGCCCTGAGCTGAGAGCCCTGTGCCCAGCCTTGTTTCTGGACTGTGTGGGGCAGCATCTGTGCCCGAGGGAGCCGGGTCCAGCCCGCAGTTGCTGCAGGCCAAAGGGCTGTGCTGGGAGGTGACCCAGAGACCGGCATGGGCCCAGATGTGCAGCGACTCCAGCCTGCAGCTGCAGAGCCCCCCAGGGTGAGGCCTCCGAGTGGGTGGCCGGGCAGCCCTCCTCCAGGAGGACGTTTCCACTGAGAGGCCACCGGGGGGAGAGGGGGGCCCGTGGGAAGGTGCCAGGGTATCTAGGAGCCATGGAACAGGCAGAGGGCTGTGATGCTGGGTCTGTCAGGGAAGAAGTCGTGACGATGGCTGCCCCAGGAGCAGGACGGTAGAAGTGGAGGGGTACAGTTTCCACTTTGCATCCCTGTGTGGTGCTCAGGAGGTATTTTTAATCTTGCCCAATGTGTTCATAAAGAACCAGCTTTAAGAAGTAATCCTGGGCCAGCGCCCTGGCTCAATAGGCTAATCCTCCACCTTGCGGCGCCGGCACACCGGGTTCTAGTCCCGGTCAGGGCGCCGGATTCTGTCCTGGTTGCCCCTCTTCCAGGCCAGCTCTCTGCTGTGGCCAGGGAGTGCAGTGGAGGATGGCCCAAGTGCTTGGGCCCTGGACCCCGTGGGAGACCAGGAGAAGCTGCCATCGGATCAGTGCGGTGTGCCAGCCACAGCGCGCCAGCCGCGGTGGCCATTGGAGGGTGAACCAACGGCAAAGGAAGACCTTTCTCTCTGTCTCTCTCTCTCACTATCCACTCTGCCTGTCCAAAAAAAACAAACAAACAAACAAAAAAAAACAGTAATCTTTCCACTGAAACACCTGCAGAGCCAGTGTCCACCAAGGGTGCAGCCACGGCTGGGCTCCTGGGAAGCCGAGTGTTGGCCTCCAGCTGGTTCAGTTCCCATGGGCTCTGGCCGTGCTCCCGCTCAGGCCTGATTGCATTCTCTGCCCACCCGCAGTCAGGACTGCCACAGCGTCCTCACCCATGCTAGCCCTTACCATCGTGAACACAGCTCTGCCTGGCAAGTCCAGCCCGCACCGCCTACTGGATGTTCCCACAGCACCCCCACCCACGGCTTCCACGGTAGCAGTTGGTGGCTCACTGTGTACCCCCGGGACAACAGTCTGTGATCACTGCAAGGCCAGCTGTCATGTCTGATGAAAAATGAATAAAGATTTCACACAGTGATGCGTAGACTGGGATCTATTTTGAGATACCCACACTTAATTTTTTTTTTTTTTTTTACAAAACTTGAGGTCCAGAGAGAGACAGAAATAGATAGCCCCTATGTGCTGGTTCACACAGTGGCTGGGGGTGAGGGGTGGGCAAAGCTGTAGAACCGGGAACTCAACCCAGGGCTCCCACGTGAGTGGCAGGAACCCAACCACTGCTGCCTCCCAGAGTCTGCGTCAGCAGGAAGCTGGAGTCACAAGCCAGAGCCAGGAGTCAAACCTGGGCACTGTGACGTAGGATGCAGGCGGTGTCCTAACCACTAGGCTGGTGCCTGCCCCAATACCCACACTTCTAAAGCCCCCCATTTCATGCGACTGTTCAGAGGAATGGATGTCATATTCTGGGTCCATGCTGCACAGCTGGAGCCACCCTCAGGTGAGTGGCCGTGAGGAGCCCTCTGGCAGACGGTGGACACCACAGCTGGAGACTGGTCTTTTTTGAAATCAACTCAGCATATCAGCCACTCAAACCTCTGCAAGCAATTTTTAAAAATAGTTTATTTTTTAAAACCATTAAGGCAAATCTGTACCCTGAAATTAACTCTTACATTCATCAGTTTTACAGTAGGACTTTCCAAACATATACATTCCCAGTCAATTTCCAGAAATCGATACAGATGGGCTGTTCAATCTCCTAACCAGAAAATGAAGACCCCAGATTTTTAAACAATTAAGGTTATTTTATAGCCATCTTCTAATTGCTTGGAAACAATCAGCTAATGTGACTGGGAGAATGACATCTGTCCTTCTCCGCACACCCGTGATTCCTGAGGTCCCGGACGTACCCGCCCTGCTCGGAAAGGAGAGCCTGCCAGAGCCCGCCCAGCCGTTCCTGCTGTGGAGCTGCTTCTGGTTAGTGCAGAACCAGGGCTGTAAGAACCAGACACTGGGTGAGGCACCCAAGCACCCATCAGACCCTGAGCTCGTCCTGCACACCCTGTCCCTTGGGGTTTGAGCATGGCACTGCTGTGGCTCCCACACATGTTCCAAACACTGCAGTGAGAGAAGCTTGGTCAAGACATTGACAACACGTAGGGAGACTTGCGAAGTCTGGTTTCTGTGCGAGGTCTGTGGTTTCTGCTCTAGGCTTCTGGTTGAGCCATGTGGAAGGGGCGGCGGGAGTCAGCCGCTTCTGTCAGGGTCTTGCCACTGGCCAGGGCTCTTTGGTGATGACCCGGGTTGTCACTCCCTGGATAGCAGGGAGCTGTGCGCCAGGCGGCAGGAGGTGGTGGTCTTCAGCACAGCCCACTGCGTGCAGTCCGGGCCTCTGACATCAGGTTGGAGCAGGCCTTGCTGCTGGGAGTGTGTGCAAGGCCACGTGTGTACTTCCTGCACACGCAGAGTAAATTCTGCCTGGCTCTGGAGCTTCGGCGGGTGTGCACGGGTGTAGTTCAGCTGTCTCCTTACTGAGGCTTCTGTGTGCTGCCAGGAGGTTCGGGAGTCAGGCTTCGAATGTATACATCCACACGGATTTCAAGAGATCCAAATGTTTGTGATTAGATGCATGATTGTCAGTAAAATACTCATATTAGGGTGGTTTTTAAAAAAGATTCCAATCACAGTATTTACGAGCTAGCTATTGACATAGCTCCTTCATGGTACAGTGTAGAAAAATGGTGCTACTCAGCACGAGTGCAGTGATCACGCGGAAGGCACTGAGTGGTGGTCATTTGTGAGGTGCGTTTCTTCTGATGCCTGAAACATGAGCCAACTATGCCTTTAAAAAAGTGCATTTTCCAAACATAGTGATTTTACCATGAGATCAGCCACTCACTAGCCCGACCCTCTCCGGGAGAGGTGCCCAGAGAGTCCCCTGCCCGGGGCCTCATCAAATTCCCGAGTTCTGGATGCTGGCTCCTGGAAGAGGCCGTGGCTAGTGTGTCCCCTTCTCTGGACAAAAACAGGGACACTTTTTCAAACTAGCAAAGTTTTTTTTCCTTAAAAGACAAAAAACAAAACAAAACAAAAACACACACCTGACTTTTGCTGCCTATGATGTAAAAATTGCTGTTTCTCATCAAAGGGTTGATTGCAAATAAGGCATCGAACAGCCAGGGGCCACTCACATACTAGGTGTTCCCAGTGGCTTTGGGCGAGACGCAGGGCTGGACGAGGATGTGCTCTGGTCTGTCCTTGGCGGTGAGGGACTCCACAGGTGGGTCGTGTGTGTCTCAGCTGAGCTGTGCCACACAGCCCCTTCGCCGACACCAAGGTGAGAGAAGTAAAACCTCACAGGCAGCCAACATCCCTGGGCCAGCTCCGAGACAATGCCGGGTTTTCATAAGCCTGCCGTCCGCTCTGCTGCTGCATCCCCTAAAATGGCATTATGCAATCAGGAAGCCACAGGGTGACCCTCGCTGTCTTTACCGTGCAAAACTTGCAGTTTCTCATTGCAGTGGGCACTGTGGCTTCCGGAGGAGTCTAATGGCCACGCACATTCTGAGTGAGACTGCCTTTCTCCTTGCCCTTGTCTGTTTCACAGGCTGGGGGCCTGCACTCCATTAAAATGGCAAGCGACATGAATAAACGCCAGCCACAACGCAGACCTCGGCCCCTGGAGCCTCCGCCAGGATCTTCCCAGGCAGAGGGGCTCTGCACAGCGAGGAAGGCACGCGCGAGTGGGTGGCATGGAGTCCCTTGGGAAGGCACGCCTTGGCTACCAGCAGCACAGAGCCGATTACCCAACACTTACTTGTCGCTTGCTCCACAAAGACAAGCACAGCCCAGCTCCTTTTCTGCCTCGGACTTTTCTGTTCAGCTGGTGACCTCTGAACCTGGGCTTGCACCATGGCTCCCACCAGCACGGGGAAGGTCCACACAGTCCCCTTGACTCACGCAGAGATTCGGGTGGTAAGAAATCCTGGTGCAGCCGAACAAATCAGCCTGGACTAGGAGTTAAGAGGGGCTGGGCCACTTTTAGATAGAGAAGAAAGAAACCCTGCCCGTGGTCGCAGTGCCAAGGCCATGAATGTCAGTGCGTGGCGGCAAGTCCTCCAGGGCTACTTGTTCACAAGGTGAGCCTGCCCGGGGCCGTGCTGGCAAGCTGGGACTTCTGTGCACAGGTGGCTTCCGTGTCTGGTCTGGATCCGCAGTTCTGAACTTAAAACGCCTTCTCCAAGCAGGTGGTCAGGTGCACCTGCCTCAGGCTGGCCGTGCTCCCTGCACACGCCTGGTTTCAGTGGCCAGGAAGAACGGCGCAGCAGAGGGCAGAGAAAGCAGCTAGGCTGGGGCCAAAGCCCCGCTCTGCGCCGAGGCAGCCCCATGGGGGGTTTTCTCTGTAGATGGGGGTGGCTTCCTGTTCCCAGAGCATGGACCAATGAGGTGCGGTGGCCTGCACAGGCGGTGAGCCACGGCAGCCTTTCCCGGTGGGGCCTGCGGTGTTGGAGCCCACAGGTTCTGAAGAGGGCCTTTGAGGGTGGCTGGCTTGCCCTGGGCTCTAGGCGCTGGGAGTGCGGGCTCCTTGGTTGAGACAGTGGGCCCAGATTTAAAATGGAGCTCAGCGAGACACTTCAAACCCCAGGTGGCCACTGGGTCAAGACAGGGACCCCCTGCCCTTCATCTGTGTGCAGGCAGGCAAGGGTGAGCGTGCACTCGGAGGACAGAGCTACTGGGGAGGCCTCTTTCTAAGCGCCACCACCAGGACTGCTGGGGCAGCACGGCACACATGGGGGCCAGGACAAGCAGGGGCTAATTCCAACTCGCTTAGCATCATGTGTCAAGTACTGACTTGTGACCTTGAGCTTCTTCACCCTTGGGAGGCTGTGGGCAGCAGTTCTTTCCCTTGGTATCTTAGGAGGCCCGGGGGGCACGCACATCAGAACAAGCAGGAAGTTCCTTTCTGTGCTCATAGGGTGACCAGAGAGACCCTGCAATGGGCTCTGGTGAATGCGCCAAGCCCACCGGCTTCTCTGAACGCCCGCGTCCCACCGTTCGCTCTGCCAGGCCCCAGCTATCTGCCCTGCGCAGTCAGTGAGGCAACCAGCCTGGAGGCCTTGGAATCCGGCCTCTGCCGTGAGCGCCTCAGGCACCGCCAGCGCCGGAGCTCGCGGGCTCCTGGATGCGCCACGTGGCCCGGAGGCCGGCCACCTTCTCGATTGGCATCCCACATGGAAATGCTTTGCTTCTGATTCCTAAGACACTGGGCAGATTGCCCGCTGCTGCTGGCCCACGGATCCTTTGATTGGATCTTCACAACAATAAAATAAAACCCTAAACTCCACTTCATGTGGAATTTTTCAAAACGGATGTGCTGCCCTAACTTCCGCTCTCCTCTGCTTGAAGTCCACGTCCTGGCCACAGCTGTGTTTTCGTCATACTGACCCTGGGCCCTTCGGCAGCATCAATCCTGTCATTCCTTAATAATGACCTTGGAAGAGCCACGTTTTTCTAAAAGCAGCCTGGGGATGGGGGGGGGGGCATGCAACAAGGATACAACCCCATGGCAAGTGCACCGGTGGGCACGTTCAGCCCAGGTCTGGCTGCAGGGGCCATTTGTCTGCCAGATGGACAGCAAGAGACGGCAGTCCCTGGACAGAGGACACCAGCCACCTGGCTTTCCCAGCTGCCCTGAGGTGGAGAGGTTGCTCTTTAAGGCAAAAACACCTATTTTAGGTGTTGCAAAACTGCCTCACACAGCCTAGCACACTTCAAAAAGATCGTGGAAAATGGAATTAAAAGATACTTTTGGTGCAAAATTTGTTTAAAGATCCATGCATAGGCTTCTTGTAATATGCACTTTCCACGAACTTTCTGAAGACTGCCCATACGGTGGGAAAAGAGACTTAACCTAACTCTGCGTCTGAAATCTGAGACCAGGTAAAACCACGCCTTGAAGGACACACTCTCCAAGTGAGCAGCGGCTCCCGGGCCAGGATGTGAACTCACGTCTGCCTCATTTCCACTCCAGGAGCACCTACTGCCCCCTGGGGTCCAGGGGGAAGAGCGCCATAGTTCAAAAAGCAACATAGGGAAAGACACAGAGCCGCCAAATGGGGCCCAGAGAAAAATCCACAGATCCTCCCCCAGTCTGTCCCTAAAAACACCACGGAGGCCACACACAGCTGAGGGCCCAGGTCTGCTAGGAGAAGGGAGCAGAGGATCCGGGCGGCGCCTGGAGGCCTCCAACGGCCAGAGGCGCTCTCGTTTCCGGGCTTCCCCGCCTTTCCCGCGTACCTGTCACAGCCCCGAAGCGAGCTGCATTCTGCCAGCTTAGCCAAGCGTTCTTTACAGTCCTCCAGCTACGACTGCGGAGCAGCCGTTGTCTCTTCCGTTGGGAGAAACAGCACTGAAGTCTCCGAATAAATACCGTGCTGCTTTTTAAATACTTGACCTTTGGCTGCATCCAGATGTAGGGGATTATAAAGTTGTTAAAAAGTGCTGATTAGTTTCCAACATTTATGAAGGCACAGGACCACGGGAGGGGGGCACAGGGGAGACGGGCTGCGTGGCTGCAGGTGGCCAGTCAGTGAGACGGAGGACTGCTAGTGTGATGTAAGGCAACGTGCCTCGACTACCGCGGGGTGGGCTACCGTCAGGCTGGTGAACAGCTCTCTCCTCATCTTCCCAGCCGCGGACCACCAGCCTCGGAGACCCAGGCACGTGCTCGGTTGAAGACAAGCCAGACGCGGAGCTGTCCTTGGTTCCCTACAGCTGGGACGCCCCAGCGGCGATGGGGAAATAGCAGCGTGCCCTGGCAGCCGGCAGGGGTGCTGCTGCCCCCGGGGGTCAGTACATGTCCCTGTAGATCTCCTGCAGCAGCGGGTGCAGCGCCGCGTCCGACTCCGTCTTCTTGATGACCTGCACCAGCTGCGCGTGCTCCGTGACCAGCTGCCGCAGGTCTGCCATCTTTTGGAGGAGTTTGGGGAAGAGGAAGGTGTCGTCCGGGTGGTTGCTTTGCAAGTGAAGCCTCAGCACGTGCACGATGCCCTCCTGCATCTTCTCAATGGATCCTATGTTTAGGAGGCCGGGCCGATCTAGTCTCAAAAGGAGAAAGAGACGTTTGAGTGGAGGCACCCCCGCCCCCGGCAGCCCGGGATCAGCTTGCGGAAGCAGACCTTCCTCTCCGACACAGCCTCTCAGGGAGGAGGCGGAGCTGCCCCTGGACGGTGCTGCCTTGGCCTGAACACAGACACAGACTGTCTGCGAGGGACAGGGAAGCCCAGCGGCCACCCCGCGACCTGCACAGACATGTCAGCCCACCCCCGTGGCCTCTTCAGCTGCAGGGAGTGGTCGTGGCATAAAGACTGTTACAGGTGCCCTCTGATGTGAGCCAGGTGAGCAGTGAGAAAGAAGAGGGTGCAGACAGCCGCGGGAGGGGTGCAGAGGCGAGGCAGGGGTCGGACTTGCTGCAGGAAGTGCCATCATGCACGCAGGTAACCCTGCGGCACCTCTGTCCCTGGCACCAGACATTCTGGGACAGACTTACACCATGTATTCTGACTTTTGGTCCAGAAACATCCCAGTCCCTATTCAATGACTAATGTGTTCTCTGAAGCTCCACTTTCTACCATGATCTTCAAAAGCGTTGCTAATGATGTATTTTTAAGTCTTCATTTTTATTGTAAAATAAATATAATTATTATGCTTTTAGACAAAGAAAAAACTTAAAATACAGACAGATCACTGCCCCTCCCTAAATAACCTTAACCCCAGCATAGCGGGTGTAGCACTGACCTCACCACGTCTTCTTCTATGTATACACGACTGATAAAGATGATCATTTCTTTGATAAGACGGGCATCACGCTACCTAGAAATAGTTTTGCAGCTGCTGCTAATGCCCAGTGCCACATCTTGGTCCCACGAAAGGATGATGACAGATTATGTGTAACTGCTTTGTCCCTTGCACTCGACACCTGGCCATAAGGACTTCCTCCAGGGACTGGCGTCCAGATGGTCAGTGGAAGGTCCACAGAGCAAACCACAGCAGCAGCACTGCTTCTGGCAGTCCCTGCCGGGCTAGGCAAGGTCGGCGGGGTTCACAGTAGGCACATGACCTTCCTGGACCTGAGGCAGGGCTATTCATAGCCCCCAAAGCTCAGGGGGCTCAAAGCCAACTGCCACAGAGAGGCCCAGCTTCTCCTTCCCTGGCATCTGCTTCCTGTGGCAAAGCCAGTCTTGCGCTCACTGCCAGCTAGTGGCTGCTAGTTTTCATTGTGAGACGGCATCGATATCCTCAACAGTGACGGCAACACGCCAGTGCTTGTAGGCCACTTCATGGAACGTGGCCTGGGATATGGAGAGGTATAATCCTACCACTACATTAGAATCGTGCTGGCATACCGCAAAGTACAATCATACCTAAATATATAATTAGATAATAATGTCTATAATAGGTGTGATGTGATAATATAGTAATGTCTATAATATTAGATATGATGTGAATGGGAGGATTATAAATATAACACATATGAATTTTATAAATACAGATGGATATGCTATTTACATATTCTATACCAGGCAATATGGATCCAATTCTCAGTTCTACTCAGCGGCATCACAGCACAGGTGCCTTCTCATGTGCCAGCGCCCACGCCACTGGACGGCAGCTCAGGCTGGTGCCGGCTGACCCCGTGGCAGCAGAGCAAAGCCAGCACTTACCTCCACAGCAGATGATAGCAGCCACAAAAAGGGAAATGTCACTGTCGTCCAGCTCCAGTGCGTTGAACTTCATGGCGAAGTCAAACTTGGGTTCCATGATATCACAAAACGGTTTCCTCAGGTTTTTTAGGAACTCCCGCGTGATAAAACCATTCCCGTAGGCGACCAGCATCCCATCTTTGTTCATCAGTGACGACAGCATCGTGAATATGGCCTCATAAACTCCGTATTTGAGCAAGGTCACTTGATCATTCAGGTCCAAGTTTGCGAAGCCCGGGATGGCCTTGGCGAACTCGGTGAGCTCTGTGACGGTCTCCACCGACATGCACTGGCAGCAGTGGAAGATGCGGACCTCCGCCTCCTTGTTCTGGATGCCATTGGCCACCATCTTGGCCACGAGCGTCTTCTCAGCCATACACAGCGTCTCCATGTCGTGTATGACAAAGGGCTACGAGGAAAGACGCTAAAGATAAGCCAGGCCATTGGGGATGAGCTATTCAGACCTTTACTAATAAAACCACGAGGAGCTCCTATCTTGTACCCAGGTCACTCGCTCTGGTGCTATGGAGAATTTAAAATACACGCAGAATGCTGTCTGCATTCTTGGACAGCTTCAGTGTCGGTTGGGGGCAAATAAGACTAATAATCAATAAGACAGTGATTGCCATTTTAACAATAAGCCTGACAAGAACCAAGTACCAAAACACCTTTAATATTTTATAATGTTCCCTGAAGTCCTAAAAACTATTGCAGTACTATTTTTAAAAAATATTTATTTGAAAGGAAGAGTTACACACACACACGCACACACGAGATGGGGCAGGGGTGGATCTTCGATCCACTGGGTCACTCCTCAAATGACCACAACAGCTGGAGCTGGGCTGATCCAAAGCCAGGAGCCAGGAGCTTCTTCCGGGTCTCTCATGTGGGTGCAGGGGCCCAAGGACTTGGGCCATCTTCCGCTGCTTTTCCAGGCCATAGCAGAGAGCTGTATCAGAAGTGGGGCAGCTGGGACTTGAACCCACACCCATATGGGATGCCAGTGGTGCAGGCAGTGGCTTTACCCACTACACCATAGTACCACCTCTACTGCAGCACTACTGAGAAATTACAGGGGCTGGCACTGTGGCGTAGCAGGTAAAGCTGCCACCTGCAATGCCTGCATCCTATATGGGTGCCAGTTCGAGTCCTGGCTGCTCCACTTCCATTCCATTTCCCTGCTATGGCCTGGGAAAGCAGTAGAGGATGGGCCAAGTCCTTGGGCACCTGCACCCGCGTGGGAGACCCAGAAGAAGCTCCTGGCTCCTGGCTTCAGATCCGTGTAGCTCCGCTGTTGCAGCCAATTGGAGAGTGAATCAACGGGTGGAAGACCTCTCTCTCTCTCTCTCTCTGCCTCTCCTCTCTCTGTATAACTCTTTAAAATAAATAATTAAATCTTTTTTTAAAAGAGACTCCTGCATTCCTATGTCCACCGCAGCACTATTCACAGCAGCCCAGGTGTCCACTGGTGGGTGAGTGGATAATGAAAATGGGCACATACACAGTGGAATAACGTTCTGCCAGGAAAAAGCTGATATTTGTGCAACAGGGATGGAACTGGAGCACATTAAGTGGAATAGGCCAGACACAGAAAGATACATACTCTATGTTTTCAATCATATATTAGAAGCTAAAAGGTCGGCATTGTGGCACAGTGAGTTAAGCTCCAGCCTTCAATGCTGGCATCCTATATCAGGAGCGCCAGTTTGAGTCCCGCATGCTCCGCTTCTGATCCAGCTCCCTGCTTATGCACATGGGAAGGCAGCAGAAGATAATCCAAGTGCTTGGACCCCTATTACCCACATGGGAGACCCAGAGAGAATTCCTAGCTTCAGCCTGGCCCAACCCGGGCTGTTGTGGTCATCTGGAAAGAGAACCAATGGATGAAAGAGCTCTCTTTCTCTTTATGTCTCTTCCTCTCTCTGTTACTCTGCCTTTCAAATAAATACATAGATTTTTTTTAAAAGTTAGTTTCATAAAGTAGAGAGTTGAGTAGTGATCACTAGAAGCTAGGAAGGGGAGGGGAGAGTGGGGATGGGGGTGTCAAATAAGGGGTGACTAAGTACACTTCCGCGGAGAAATCAGCTCTTGTGTTCCATAGCACATAGGGCGTCTGTGCAGCTCACAATGGTTGATGATATATTTTATAAACAACTAGGAGAGGCTGGTGTTGTGGTGCTGTGTCATACCAGCATCCTGTATTGGAGCAGTGGTTTGAGTACCAGCTGCTCTGCTTCTGATCCAGCTTTGCAGGAAGCAGCAAATTAATGGCTTGGGCCCCTACCACCCACGTGGGAGATTAGGATGGCTTCGAACTCCTGGCTTCAGCCTAGCCTATTTGGGAAGTGAATTAGCAGATGGAGGATAGCTCTCTCTGTATCTCCCTCTCTCTCTGTTGCTTTGCCTTTCAATCAATCAATCAGTTCCCAACATAAAGAAATGGTCAGTATTTATGGGTGAAAATGCTAATTACACTTTCTTCTTACATTTTATCCAATCTTCACACTTTACCCATAAATTTTTTTTTGTAAAAAAAAAAAAAAACAACAACAAGCTATCAGCAGAAAAGATGCTTGGCCATGGTATTGGCAGCCACTATGTTCAGAGGGTGCGTTATGTCTCATGGGGCTGAGTACATACAGAGAGAAGGAGAGGCAGAGAGAGAGAGAGAGAGAGAGAGAGTGAGTTTTCCACCCGTTGGTTCACTCCTCAATTGGCCCTAATGGTCAGAGCTATGCTGACCCGAAGCCAGGAGCCAGGAGCTTCTTCCAGGTCTTCCATGTGGGTGCAGGGGCCCAAGGACTTGGGCCATCTTCCACTGCTTTCCCAGGCCATAGCAGAGAGTGGGATCAGAAGTGGAGCAGACAGGACTCGAACCAGTGCCCATTTGGGATGTCGGCACTATAGGCAGCAGCTTTACCTGCTACGCCACAACGCCGGCCCACATCTATTTATTTTAAAGGCAAAATTACAGAGGGAGGGCACGGGGACAAAGAGACAGAGATCTTCCATTCGCTGGCTCACTCCCCAAATGGCCACAACAGCTGGGGATGGGCTGGGCAGAGCAAAGGAGCCTGGAACTTCATCAGGGCCTCCTATGTGGGTGCAGGGGCCAAAGCCCTTGGGCCATCTTTTACTGCTTTCCCAGGAGCATTAGCAGGGTGCTGGATAAGAAATGAAGCAGCCAGGACTGGAACCAGTGCACATACGGGATCCTATTTTCTCAGGTGACAGCTCATCCCACTGCACCACAATGCCAGCCCCTGTCTATTTATTTTAAGGCAAAATTACAGAATATGAGAGAGAGGGAAGGAAATACAGAAAGAGAGGGTTCGTGTGTTGCTGGCCCCAGATGGCGGCAATGACCATTGTGGTCAGAAGCAGAGTGCTGGGGCTAAACTGGACTTGCAATTTGGGGTACCAGCTTTGCAGGCAGCAGCTCCCATGCTGTGCCCCAGCGCTGCCCTACAACCACACTGCAAAAGCACAGATGGCAGTAATCCCTCAGTTCCAAAAAGTATATCCTTGAGCGACCTTCACATCATTCAAATCACTGGCTTTCCCTAAGTACATGCAGTAGAAACAAAAATGTTCAATAAAAAGAAAAAGAGCTCTGTGGTTAAAAAGAAGTTGGAGAAATTCTGAGCCACATCACATTGGGACCTGGAGTCTCTAACGTGCACTGTGAACAGCAAGCCCAAGGTAGGGGTGAGCAGTGACCCCCGCGCCTGATGACAGAATGTGTGCCTGTGCCATTGCCTTTGGGTACAGCAGCCCGTGTGAGCAGGGCAGGTCTGCCTGCGTCATCTGTGTGGGCCCGCCTGGTCCAGAGCAAAATGAAAATGTGGGCTCCTGGTTAAGATACGGGTAAGAATTTCAGCACTGCCACAGCAGAGCAGGAGCCCCGGAACACAGAGCACTTCCAAGCGTGAAGCCCTTGGAGTCCCTTGCACTGGGAAGAAAGGTTCATTTCTTCTTTATAAAGTTATCACTGGGGCTTCAAAAGCAGGTCTCGGGGGCTGGTGCTGTGGCACAGCGCGCTAAGTGGCATCCCCCGCTGGAGGTCCCGCGGGAGTCCCGGCTGCTCTGCTTCCAGTCCAGCTTCCTACTAATGCTCCTGGGAAGGCATTCGAGGCGGCCTGAGTGTTTGGGGCCCTGCACCCATGTGGGAGACCCGGATGGAGTTCTGGGCTCCTGGCTTCAGCCTGGCCCAGCCCCAGCGTTGCAGCCATTTCAGGATGAACCAGCAGATGGAAGATCTTGCTCTCTCTCTCTTTTTGACAGGCAGAGTTACACAGCGGGAGAGAGAGAAAGGTCTTCCTTCCAAGTTGGTTCACCCCCAAATGGCCGCTACAGCCGGCACACTGCACCGATCCCAAGCCAGGAGCCAGGTGCTTCCTCCTGGTCTCCCATGCGGGTGCAGGGCCCAAGCACTCGGGCCATCCTCCACTGCACTCCCAGGCCACAGCAGAGAGCTGGACTGGAATAGGAGTGACCAGGACAGAATCCGGCGTCCCAACCAGGACTAGAACCCAGGGTGCCGGCACTGCAGGTGGAGGATTAGCCTAGTGAGCTGTGGCGCCGGCCTCCTCTCTCTCTTGCTCTCTCTCATTCTGCCTATCAACTAAATAAATCTTTAATTAAAAAAAAGGTCTCGAGCCGGCGCCGTGGCTCAATAGGCTAATCCTCCACCTTGCGGCGCCGGCACACCGGGTTCTAGTCCCGGTCGGGGCACCGGATTCTGTCCCGGTTGCCCCTCTTCCAGGCCAGCTCTCTGCTATGGCCAGGGAGTGCAGTGGAGGATGGCCCAAGTGCTTGGGCCCTGCACCCCATGGGAGACCAGGAAAAGCACCTGGATCCTGGCTCCTGCCATCGGATCAGCGCGGTGCGCCGGCTGCAGCGGCGGCCATTGGAGGGTGAACCAACGGCAAAGGAAGACCTTTCTCTCTCTGTCTCTCTCTCACTGTCCACTCTGCCTGTAAAAAAAAAAAAAAAAGGTCTCAATTGTAGGTAAAATGAGTGCTAACTTTAAGAAACTCAGATTTATTAAAACTAAAGAGAAACTGGGGATGGCTGTTTGGCCTAGTGGTTATGGTGGTGGTTGGAATGCCCGTGTTCCCTATCACAGTGCCTGGGCTGGAGTCCCGGCCCCTCTCCTGAGTCCGGCTTCCTGCTAACGTGCACCCTGGAAGGCAGCAGGTGTTGGCTCAAGTACCTGGATTCCTGCCAAGGGGACCTGAATTGAGCTCCTGCTTCCCAGCTTCAGCTTGGCCCAACCCAGGTCACTATGGCCGTTTGAGGAGTGAGTCAGTGGCAGGGAGCCCTGTGTGTGTCTCAGTCTCTGTGCCTCTTAAATAAAGTTGTGTAGTAAAATATACACTTGAAAATCTGTCAAACTTTATTGATAAACATTCCTGGTGAAACTACTTTATTGATAAACATTCCTGATGAGACTATGTTTAAAACTCCACGAAGCTTACATTTAACTTTGAAACGAGAGTGACTCTGCCTGGACACGGCTCCCAGAAGCTGCCCTTCCACCCAAGGTTCCAAAGCGTTGGGAATCAGGCTGGAATTCCGCTTCCCAAGCCTGTGTGGGAACCAGTGTCAACTGCATGACAGTCGTCTCCTTACTTCACTTTCCTCACCCCAAATAAGACATTCAGTGTTGCAAACCAGACCAGCTACAACCAACTCGTTTTGTTGAGAATTCAAGTGCATTCTCAGGGAGTCAAGATTCTCCACCACAGAAGATGTCCCAGGACTCTACAGGGCATTCCCAGCAACTCTGAGCAGCAGGAGCCCCTAGGACAAAAACGCACAATGCACGCCTCCTGCTCTCAGCGCATTCATTTGAGGCAAGTTCTGATGTGTTCGTTAGATTGAAAAGTAGCAGAAACACATGAGTGTGAATTTCTAAAGTCTAAATACTCAGTGCTAATAGGGTGTTTGTTCTTTTAGCTTAATCCCCTTATCCATTTTTTACAAGGCACAACTACTTCTAAGACCAAAGGCAGCTAAGTGTGAGCAAGGGGTGTGTGTGTGTGATGTGCATGTACAAGGACGGGTACACATGTGTGTGGATGTGAGTGTGCACATGTGTGAGTATGGGTTCATATGTGTGTGAGTGTACATGTCAGTGTGTGCACGTGTGCTTCAGACCACAGCCCTGGGTGGCTGGAAAAGCAAACGTCCCAGGAAAGGTGTTGAACTCACCCAGTCTCATCAGTCCTCTTTCCTGTCAGGTCATCCCAGGAACTGGACAAGACTCACTGGGCACAGAGCAAGGCCGTTCTACCGAGGACAGAGCTTCGTCTCCCTAACAGATTTCCAACGCTAGGACTGTACACAATGATGCACCTCACAGGCTCCCCATGCCAAAGCCAGAACTCTCAAACAGATGCAGGTATTGCAGCCTGGAGGTCAGGGACCCTCCTCACACTGAGCACAGTGATAGGGTCCCTTCACAGGCAGCAACTAGCTCCGGGTGGCCTGTCAGTGGCTGGGTGGGAACAGAAGAGCAGCCGTGCCTCCCACAAACTGCGTGTGGACAGGACACAGTGGGCTGTGACCCTCGTCAATCACAGTGAGTGAGGGCCAGTGCTGTGGCTCACTTGGTTAATCTTCTACCTGTGGCACCAGCATCCCATATAAGTGCTGGGTTCTAGTTCCGGCTGCTCCTCTTCCAGGCCAGCTCTCTGCTGTGGCCCGGGAAGGCAGTGGAGGATGGCCCAAGTGCTTGGGCCCTGTACCCCATGGGAGCCCAGGAGGAAGCACCTGGCTCCTGGCTTTGGATTGGTGTAGTGCTGGCTGTAGTGGCCATTTGGGGAGCGACCCAACGGAAGGAAGAGCTTTCTCTCCGACTCATTCTCTCTCTCAATTACAGTGAGTGACCCAGAGCAAGATGCACCTTAAAATTGGTCCCTGGGCAGGCATCCATCCTAGCAGCACACACAATTCTGTTTTTATAATACAAGCATCCCTAATCCTGGATCCTAGACTATTAATCCAGCATTTATTTCCTTCAGACCAAAATACAGATTCCTGCCAATAGTAGCTCTGTGCAGGTCTTCAACAGACTGACTTTCTCACCTTCTAGGAGCTTCGTGTATCCCCCTGGGAACCTGCTCTGTGCAGAGGAGACAAATTACGGTTAAGCAGGAGTGTTTTGTCAAGAGTGAGTATGACTCCTGGGGCTGCTGCTGTGGCCTAGTAGGTAAAGCTGCCATCTGTGTCGCCAGCATCCCATATAGGCACCGGCTTGAGTCCCAGCTGACCCACTTCAGATCCAGCGCCCTGCTAATGCACCTGGGAAAGCAGCAGAGGATGGCCCATGTGCTTGGGCCCCTGGAGGGAGACTTGGAGGAGCTCCTGGTTCCTATCTTTGGATTGGCCCAGCTCCAGCCATTGCAGCCATTTGGGGATGAACCAGCAGAAGGAAGCTCTTTTTCTCTCTCTCTGTCTGCCTCTCTAACCCTGCCTTTCAAATAAATAATTTTTTAAAAGAGTAAAGACATCTTTTAAGCTGGCCTCAAAGTCTTAAAACTCAAAGGAGAAACAGAAGATTCCAATCAGAAGCCTGGTGAGCCTGGCGCCCAGAGGCAGTAATATTTGCAAGACCGAAGTGCAAAGGTCACCTTGGCTGTACCCCGGGCTCAGGCAGGACGTGACTGGCAGGAGCCCCGGGCCACAAGGCTCAGGTCTTGGCCTATTTAACCACAAATTCACTCAAGAATTAAAAGAATCAGAGAGGCCTGGTTTGCTCGCCAAAGTAAGCAGCTTGTGAGAGGCTTTATCTCCCTGTGACTGCGAAGCCCGGCTGCTAACTGCTAAAAAGGAACTCGCTGCCACGTGGCCAGCCAGGGAGAGGCCTGGGGGGAGACCCGGCGACCGACCGACACAGGGGCAAGGCGCTGGGCGCGCAGTGACCAGTTCCCCACCCCGGCCTGACAACATGCATTGCAAAAACCGCCCTGTGGGCACGTGCCTCTGCGGGCCTTCAGCGTGCAGGCGCCACGGCCAGCAGGCCGCCGGAAGCCAGCGGAACCGGAAGCCAGCGGAGCCGGAAGCCAGCAGCACCGGAAGCCAGCGGAGCCGGAAGCCAGTGGAACCGGAAGCCAGCGGAGCCGGAAGCCAGCGGAGCCGGAAGCCGGCGGGAGCCGGAAGCCGGCGCAGGCTCGGCGGGAGCCGCTGACGTCCCGGCGCCTCTCCTCAGGCGCAGCTTCGGCGGCGGTTGTGCAGAACCCTTCCCAGCCACGGCGCCGCCGGGCGCGGGACGCCTACCGGGTTGTTGCTGGTCTTCCCCGCGAGGATGACGCGGGCTTTGACCTTGTTCATGTTGAAGTTCTTCAGGTAGGCCTCGTAGATCCTCCGGGCCAGGGACCTGAGGTCGGCGCCGCCGGGGCCCTCGGCGTCCTGCTCGCACGCAAGGCTCTCGGCTTTCAGCTTCGCCTTCTCCGATCGCGGCATGCGGCCGAAGCGAATCGCTGCGGGGCGGCGGGGGGACACGAGGCGGTGAGGCGTCCGGGGAACGCAGCAAGGCCGGGGGCGCGGGCCCGGGCCCAGCTCTGAGGGCCGGGCTCGGGACGCCCTCTCCCGCTGCCAGCGCCCGTGGAGACCCCACGAATCCCGCGCTTTTGCAAGGGGACAGAGTACAGGCATGGTCTAAAGTGAGCCTGTGAGTGAGTAAAGAGAATCACGTGATAGGGCCGGTGTGCCGCAGGGCTCCGCACCCTCCCGCAGTGGCAGGGACGTCCCGCCAAGCGCTCTGCGAATCCCAGCCCTGTGGGCTTTGTGTTTTCTTAGGCTGGGCCGGAAGCGCTCCCCACAGCACAGTCTGCCCCCACGGCACAGGAAGGGGCTTACCTACCATTGTGGGACATCCCCACGGAAAGGCACTTGTGAAAGCGGCAGTACTGGCACTTGTTGCGATTCTTCTTCAGAATCTTGCAGCTGCGGTCGCATTTGTCGTACACCAGCTTTAGCCGAATCGTTCGCCGGAAGAAGCCCTGCGGGGTGAATGCGTGGCTTACTCAAGAACCTGCACCATGGGGCTGGCGCCGTGGCTCATTGGGCTAATCCTCCGCCTGCCGTGCTGGTATTCCGGGTTCTAGTCCCACTCAGGGCGCCGGAGTCTGTCCCGGTTGCTCCTCTTCCAGGCCAGCTCTCTGCTGTGGCCCGGGAGTGCAGTGGAAGATGGCCCAAGTGCTTGGGCCCTGCACCCCATGGGAGACCAGGAGAAGCACCTGGCTCCTGGCTTTGGATCGGCGCAGCGTGCCGGCAGCAACGCGCTGGCTGTAGCGGCCATCTGGGGGGTGAACCAACGGAAAAAGGAAGACCTTTCTCTCTGTCTCTCACTGTCTAACTCTGCCTCTTTAAAAAAAAAAAACTGCACCATCAACCTGTCATGGCTTCACTCACCTTTCTTGTTCTTCATCTCCTGTCTCTTTCGAAATCAACTAAGCTTAGAGGAATGGTTCTTCTGAAAGGTCTCGTGTAATTGAGACATAAAAAATTTTAATTCTGTTGCATTCAAAATGAGAAATAAAATGAGGCAAATTTCAGAGTAGTTTTGAGATGCCCTCATGTGATTGGGAAGACATAGTTATGGTTTCCAGTCACTCTGCCCTCCCATAGGACATATCCAAGTCTGTGACAGAAAACTGTCTCCAGATTTTTGTAGAATATTAACTCCTTAAAACACAAATTAACATGCAAGGAAGCCATCTATTTGTAAATAATTTTCTGGCTTTATAAAAGCATCTTAAACTTTACCCAAAAAAACCCACATTTTTTTCTAGTAAATTCCATAAAAATCTAAAGTCACAAAATCATAGCCCTGCAGAAAAGGCCATTTTACAGCAGCTCTTTTAAGAGGATGTGGTTAGAAAACTTGAGGAGGAGTTTGTTTTGGCTCCGGGTTATTTTTTCTCTTAAGTCCTCCCACATTTCAGATGTGGTAGGCTTGCCTGGCCTCGTGCACAGGAACAGCAGTTTGCTGGGAGTGGAGGGTGGGCTGGTATCCTCACTTGACACCCTTATCCAGGTGTAAGGCGGGACAGCCCGAGAACATGCAGGATTGTAAGAGGGAGGTGAGGAGCAAGCATTCCAGATGTTAGGGTGCAGTGCTGCTCTGGCTCAGAGGCCTGGTCTCCCCATGCACCAGGCCTCCCTGCATAGGTAGGGGCCAGCGTTGTGGTGCAGTGGGTCAAGCAGCTGTGCTGGCATCCCATGAGGGTGCCTGTTTAAGTCCTGGCTGCTCCACTTCCTATCCAGCTGCATGCTAATGCACCTGGGAAAGTAGTGGAAGATGGACCTAGTACTTGGGTCCCAGCCACTACATGGGAGACCTGGATGGAGTTCCAGGGCCCTGGCTTCAGTCTGGCCCAGTCTCGGCCATTGTAGCTATTTGAGGAGTAGATAAGGTCTCTCTCTGTGTGTGTCTTCCTGTCACGCTGACTTTCAAATAAATAAATAAATAAATCTTAAGAAGAACACAGGTAGTGCAGAATACTAGGAAAGACTACCAAACTTCAGTGCAGGGTTTCTGACTTGAAGCAAACATTCAGATGATTAGAGCCCCCTCTGTCATGAGCATGAGGCAGAATACAAGAAAGAGTGCATGACACCCAGGGGATGCCATGCTTCAGGAGACTGGCAGGACATGACCCCTGTCACCATCCTGTTGGTAAGCACAAGAGGCCATGTGCCCAGGTGGCAGCTGCTGGATCTCAGGCCTGCCCATGCACACTTGGGCATGGATCATGTCTGCTTAGGGGTCTGGCTGAGCTGGCCTCAGGAGGAGGATATATGTGCACCTTGGAGGGATGGGGGAAGGAACTGCCAGGGGCTCAGGAACAGCAGTGCAGGAGCCCACTGTAGGTTCCAGGCCTCTGCTGGGTACCAGGGGACCTTAAGCAAGACATTCAACCCCTTTTGTCCAGTCCCCTGGACATAAAAGAACAACTGCACTAGCTGGCCTTGGTGAGGCACCAGTTATGTGGGAAATGCTCTCAGCCCTGCGTTCAAGCAACAGGATGGTTCCTAATGCCGCTCATCTCCTGAAGAACCCCCTTTGCTGAGCTCCTCACACAGACCGTGGAGCATCCGGTTCTAGACCTTTGAAGAGAAAGTCGTCTGCCCCAGAGGCCAGTTTCCCAGCTGTCTATAATGGCACATGTTTGTGTTGGGGTAAAAATAACCCCAGGAGCCACGACGCAGGCCCCCTTCATCCCCACCAGGCTCCCTGTACCTTGCAGCCTTCACATGCATGGACCCCGTAGTGGTAGCCTGAGGCCCTGTCACCACAGATCCTGCATTCAATGTTGAGGGCTCCGCTGGGATATTCATCAACGCCACCAGGAACCACGGGACAGGTGACTGATGAGGGACTGGACGCGGGTGAAAGGGTGTCTACGAAAAAAGAGGAGACATGTGTGAATCATCCAGGTGTCACTACACAGGGTCTAAACCAGGTCCCTGAGGATAGGAGTGTCAGCATGGGAGGATTCTGGAATGTGGCAGAAGCTCATGGGCAGGGCACCTGTCCTGAGTCAGCCCCTGTCCCTGGGTTGAGCCCCCATGGTCCCACGGCTGCCATCATGCTGGCTTCCCTGAAGCTCCGTCTCTGACTTGCACCTGCACCTGGTCCTGGACCCACACATCCACTGCCTCCAGACACTGCTCAGCATGCCCTGCACAGAACTTGTTTTTTGCTTTCTTCCTTCCAAGTCATGTGCAGTTGATAACTTGATAAATGGCACCAAAATGAAGTACAAAAACCCTGGTGGGTGACAGCAAAAGCTTAATCCATGAAAGGAAAAAATAAACTGGAATTCATGAAAATTAAAATCTGCTAAGAAAATGAAGGCAGGCCACAGGTGGGGAGAAAATATTTGCAAAACACATTTTAGGAAAGGCCCACATCCAGAATATACAAAGAAGTCTTAAAACTCAGTAATAAGAAAAGAAACGAGAATTTAAAAATGAGCAAAAGATCTGAGTAGACTCTTCACCACAGAAGATACCAGCATAATAATGAGACGTCATCACAGCCTATCAACGGCTAAAACCCAACACTGCTACGACAAACATCGGCAAGGGTGTGGAGCCCCAGGACCTTCACAAGTTGCTGGCGGGAATGGGAAACAGGATGATGACTTTGCAGGACAGGTGAGCAGTTTGTCACAAAGTCAAACAGCCTAAAGGGAGCCAGGCTCCCAGCTTATTTACCCAACTGACCTGACAAAACTACACATACACGTTTACAGCAGCTTTATTAGAATTACCTCAAACCATAGGCCACCGATATGCCCTTTAACAGGTGAATGGATGAACAAACCATGGTAACCCACCCAAGGGAACATCATTCAGCATAAACAGAAACGAGCCATCAAGCTGTGGAAGACATGGGTGAATCGTAATAAACAGTGCTCAGCAGAAGCCAGCCTGAAAAGGTGACATCCTCTCTGAGGCCAAATTGATGGCACTGTGGAAAAGGCAAAGCCACAGTGGTGGTGAACACATGAGCCAGTGGGGAAGGGTAGGCAAGTTGGGCTTGGCGAGGTTGAGCACCGTGCTGAAAGTGTACATTTGAAAATGTAATGGTATACCCACAGCACCATGCATTTCTGAAACCCACAGAACATCACAGTTGAGTGAGCCTCACTGTATGCAAATATACAACTAATTTAGGAACTTGCAGGAACCCAGGATGGAATGCGAAATGTGACTGTACTACACATGTAGGAAACAGGCGGGGTTGGGGCACAGCAGGGTAAAGCCACTGCCTGCAACACAGGCATCCCATATCAGTGCTGGTTCAAGTCTCGGCTACCCTGCTTCTGATCCAGCTCCCTGCTAATGTACCTGGGAAGACAGTGTAAAATGGTCCAAGTGCTTGGGCCCCTGCCACCCATGTGGGAGACTGGGATGGAGTTCATGGCTCCTGGCTTCAGGCTGGCCCACCCCTAGCTGTTGCAGTTTCTTTCTCTCCCCCTTTCTTTCCTTCTCTGTCACTCTGCTTTTCATATAAATACATAAACAATTTTTAGACATGCAGGAAACACTCTCACTGAAAGAGATAGAGGAGAAGGAGTGGCATGGTAGGGCTACAGGCAGAAGGGCCTACACATAAGCACCATGCTGTAGTTGATAACACTGCTCCCCACAGGAGTAGGGTTAATCATTCTGACACTGTTCCATGTGACTTCCAGAAATGAACCATTAAGTCATGGGTGGCAGTTGAGGAAGGCAGGTATCTCCCTGTTAAAATGGTAGGTTACAGATGAGGTTATAACTAGAGAATCAGAATGGCCCATCTAATGCATTAAAGGCAGGCGTCAGCTGGAGCTTGTAGTGAACTTGGAAGCTTCAGTGGCTCAGTGTGAATATCATAACTAGGGTCCCTAAAGGAGGAAAGGGAGAAGAAGCACAGGAAAAATTCTCAAAGAAATAGTAGTTCGACCTGATCCAAATTTGATGAAAATAGTAAATGCATAGCTCCCAGAAAAATAAAAACTCCCATCAGAGCACAACTGTAATCAAATTGCTTAAAACTGGTGATAAAGAAGATTTTTAAAGGTCACCAGATACATCAAAAAGAGGTGCCAGTGCTGGTGGGAAAGTAACTTAGAAGAGTATGGAGGTTCTTGGAAAGACTAAACCAGAATTAGCACATGATCCAACAGTCCTGCCTCTAGGTCTGTATTCAGAGGAACTGAAATCAATACACTGAAGAGATATGTTCAGCACAGCGTTATTCACAATAGCCTGGACATGGAATCTACCTCAGTATCCACCAAAAAAATAAATGGATAAAGAGAATGGGGAGGTGATGGCACTGTGGTGTAGCAGGTAAATTTGCTGCCAGCAGTGCCAGCATCCCAGCTCTGGCTCCTGATGCCAGTTTTCTGCTAATGCAGACCCTGGGAGGCAATGCTGATGGCTCAAGTAACTGGATTCCTGCTGTCCACACAGGAGACCTGGATCCCAGCTTAGTCTGGCTCAGTCTTGACCATTTCAAGAGTTTGGGGAGTGAACTAGTGAACAGGAGCTCTGTCTGCATGTCTCTTGCCAGCTCTCAGCTATTTTTTAAAAAAGAAAAAACAGGCACAGAAACATAAATACTATATAACATTTATCTGTGAAATCTAAAGAGACTCACAAAAGTAGAGAATGGAATGGTGGCTACAGAGACTAGAGATGGGGGATGGGGAGAAGTTGGTCAAAGGCCAAAGTTTCAGGACATGAGAGGATCATGTTTTTGAGATCTGTAGCACAGCATGGGGACCAGTTAACAGCAACATGTTGCACATTTCAAAAGTGCTAAAAGTAGGTTTTGGATTTTTTTCACCACAAAAAAATGGTAAGTATGTGGGCTGATGGATATGTTACTTAGCTTGATAAATTCATTTCACCACACATACATATATGGGGGCACCCCAAAAATTTCATCCCATGTTGGAGTGCTGGTTCAAGTCCTGGCTCCTCCACCTCTGATCCAGTTTCTTGCTAATACACCCTGAAGGACAGCAGATGATGGTCCAAGTACTTGAGTCCCTGCCACCCATGTGGGAGACTTGGCTCCTAGCTGCAGCCCTGCCCAGTCCCAGCTGTTGCAGGCATTTGGGAAGTGAACCAATGGATAGAAGATCTTTTTTTTTAAAATCTTCTGTTATTGCAAGTGAAAGCAGGAAAGGAGGGAAAAGAACAAAGTATATATGGGCCAAAAAAACTGGGGGGCCAGCGTTGGAGCACATTGTGTTAAGCTACTACCTAAGCTGGCATCCCATATGTGCACCAGTTCAAGTCCTGACTGCTCCATTTCTGATCCAATTCCCTGCTTATGTGCCTGAGAAAGCAGTGAAGATGGTCCAAGTGCTTGGGCCCTTTCCACCCACATGGACAACCAGAATGGAGTTGCAGGCTCCTGGCTTCCACCTGGCCCAGCTCCAGCTGTTGAGGCCATTTAGAGAGTGAGCCAACTGATGGAAGATCTCTAACTCTGCTTTTTAAATAAATGACTTTTTAAAAAATTGCAAGTTAATAGATTTAAGTAATGAAAACCATAAACACACTAATAAATGGAATGCAGCTAAGCACGCTGACTGGATTCCGAGCATTATGTAATGTGAGACTAAGATCCCTGAGGAGCTTCCAGGTGCGATGCTTTCTCATGCTTGCAAATTTCTTTGTAAAGATGTGTGCCCTCTTGCCTGGCTAAAGAGAACAAGTGTCTCCAAGGAAGGCTATGCATAAACAGGGCTTCCCAGGATACTCACCTGTGATCACGGAGCCATCTGATCCGGAGCAGCTGCCCAGACACTGGTATTCCGGAAAACTGAAGCTTCCAGAGCTGTCCTCACCAATGGATTGTGAAATCTCATGGATGTTCCCCATTTCCTGGAGGAACTCTTCAGATAACGGGCTTTCCAGGTCATCGGCATCGAGGGCAGAGAGAACGCAGAGCGGGCTTCCCGTGTCCACCATCCTGACCAGAGGGGGCTGGCCAGCTTCTCAGCGCCAGCCTACTAGGAGGACAGAGGAGTGTCGATGAGACAGACAAGGAATCGTGCATGTGTGCACTGTGTGTGCATGTATGAGGGTGTGTATGTGTGAGTACATGGGTGTGCGTGCGTGTTACATGAAAGCGTCACTTATCACTGAAGATGCTCCTGAACTCACAGTGTAAATAGTACCATTATGAGCTGCAGTTTCCAGGCTTGACTCTTGATAAGCGAACTAAGAAGAGGAAACAACAACATGTGTGAGGCGCCAAGGCCTCCCAGGAGGGGAGGACACCCTGGGTTCTGCACAGAGCTGGGGTGAGAAGGGAAAAACCCTAAGTCCCTGTTCTCAAGGAACTTCTCTCCAATGGGGACACACATGGGGAACAAGTGACCAAAGACAACATGGGCTGTGTAGTGGGGCCTCAGCAGCACAGCCAAGAGTGGCTGGGGAGTGCATGCTACTGTTCATGGGGAGATCAGGAATCGCCACCAGTCGGGGCCCCACAGAGCCTTGCAGAACAAGGGAATCAGGATGTCCTGGGGGAGTGGGTTCCAGCAGGAACATCAAGTGCAAAGGCACCAGGATTGGGCATGCTGGTTCATTCCAGGGACAACAAGGAGTCAGCATGGCCTGGGCTGGAAAGCCTGGGAAGAAGAGGGCTGAGTGGTCAGCCACAGGCTGGGTGTCACATTCCTTCTCATTCTCATAGACATGGAGGTCACTCGTGGGTATTCGCAAAACACGACTGTACGTGGAGTTTCTGACCATCAAAGTCAGTGAGTCTCAAGCAATGCTGGACTATTCAGCCAGAAAACGATGGAACATTCTCCATATGGGGTGGGGACATGGTGGCAGCTCTTCCCATGTTGCTCTGCATCATGCTCTCGTGCATATTTTTTTTTTTTACAAAACCAATTACTCTGAAAGGCAGAGTGGGAAGACAGGGTGGAAGGAGGGAGAGAGATCTTCCATCCACTGGTTCATTCCGCAAATGCCCATGACAGGCCCAGACCAGGTCTTCACATGGTTCTCAGGAGCCCAAGTACTTGGGCCATCCCATTCTGTTTCCCAGATTCATTAGCAGGAAGCTGTATTGGAAGCAGAGTAGCTGGGGCTCAGTATAGGATGCAGGCATTCCAAGTGGTGGCTTAACCCAGCACGTCACACCACCAGTCCTTGCTAAGACATCTTAAACCTCTTGCTGTGACCTCTAGACAAGGCCCAGTCTCCTCAGCACCAGACCCTAGCCTTTAGGAATTTGCCCCATTATCCCAGTGGCAACACTGAGTGTCACTGCTTCACAGTTTCACCTCCACACCTGTGCCCAGGTGCACCTGTCTGAACTGCCCTTCCTGTGGCTGACTTCTTCAGGCCCCACTCTTAGTCCTGAGTCATCAGGACTTAGTCCCAGTCATCAAGGCCAAACAGGCGATATGCAGCTTCCGGAACTGTTTTCCCATGTGCAAATGGTCACTGTGAAGCTCACTAATCACAAACAGGGTCAGAGGAGGTGTGTGCTGCCCCCAGCCGCAGGCTCCACATGGCAGCCAGTGGCATATTATGCCCAGACAACGCCAGACTCTATTGGAGGAGTATACTTTTCCAAAGCAAACACTCAGCCATTGGATGTCTTTATGTAAAACCACATTCACCCTTCAGGTTGGCTGGCTGTAAATAGCAGCTCTAAGAACCCAGCTCTAAGAACTGTGGGAGTGGCTTCTTCTAGAAATGAGAGATGGGTACCATGCACATATTGATGTGCAATTCATATCTTGGGCTGGGAGTGCTGGCAATGAGTGATTGTAGTTGACAGTAGCACACGGAGACTGGAGGGAGACTCGGTCACCACTTGTGGGGCTTGGGAGCTCTATGTAATCTGGTAGCATTTCAACCAAGCAGCAGATTTGCAAGTTTCTCCTGTCACCGCCATTCTGCTTGCCATCTCTGGGAGATGTCTCCAGTTGTAAACAAGATACTGGGGTAAGCAGCACGTACAGTGTTCTTCACCATGAACTTTGTTCAAAAGCTGCAGTCACTAACTCACTATGTTAACTATCAGGCTCCCTGAAAAGAGAATGGAGCGGCTGGACCGGGCTGCAGCCACTCCTTCCTCACCCCTGTGCACCACAATCTCTGCAAATGTTCCTTCTTCCAGCCAGAAGCATCAGACTGATATGACAATGTTGGTTTCCTTGGCATAACACATTCAAGAGGCTAGAAAGTTCTGAAGTATTATCATTTTACTTTCCAGCTACTTTTATTTTTTATTATTTTTTTTTTGACATGCAGAGTGGACAATGAGAGAGAGAGACAGAGAGAAAGGTCTTCCTTTGCCGTTGGCTCACCCTCCAATGGCCGCTGTGGCCAGCGCGCTGCAGCCGGCGCACCGCGTCCAGCTACGTTTAAAGAATACCTGGGACTAATGTAGGGAACACTGGCCTTCCATTAGTGAAGGATTTCACCAGATGAAACCACTCTGGAAGGTGAAGCAACACTGTGCCGACCTCTGCCTTTGCCCAGAGGATTTAACAGTGGCCCACTAGCTTCCAATGAGGGCAGATAAGGAGCGTCTTACTCTTGAACAAGTCTGCTGGAGAGAGAGCAGAGCCACGCGGGCACAACTGGCCAGCATGCCTCAGTTCCCAACATTCTCAGCGGCCCCTCCCTCCACTGGTTCTCCCAGCCCTGTGGCTTTGGAGCAGAAACCCCAAAGGGAAGTCCTCACTGCACTTACATCTGCACAATGCCACCAGGCCGGGCTAGCCGGCTACTGTGCCCTATTCCCCAAAAGCTCTAGAGGGATGAACAAGTGCAAACAGTGATTCATTTTCTTGGCAGCTTCCAATGTGGCTGAACTCAAGAAACAACTGTGGGGGCCAGCACTGTGGCATTGTGAGTAAAAAGCTTGTGTCCTGGCTGCTCCACTTCTGATCTAGCGCTCTATTAATGTGCCTGGGAAAGCACAAGTGGTTGGGCCCCTGCCACCCACGTGGAGACCTGGATGAAGCTCCTGGCTCCTGGCTTTGGATCAGCCCAGCTTTGACTGCTGCAGCCACTGGGTTGGGGGCGGTAAACCAGCAGATGGAAGATCTTTCTCTGTAACTCTGCCTTTCAAATAAATAAGTAAATAAATAAATCATCTTTAAAATGAAGAAAGGAGAGAAAGGAAAAGAAAAGAAAAGAACTGTAAATCTGCACATCAAAGAGACGCCAGCTCCTGCACCCCTTGCAGCACTACTCAAAGTAGCCACAACAGGGAATCAACCTAGGCGTCCACTGACAGATGCACAGACAAGGCCAGTGTGGTACATGCAGACAATGGGATGCTATTCAGCCACAAAGAAGAATGAAATCCTGACATTTGTAGCCTGAACTTAAAGGAGAGATTACTTGAGACTAGGAAGGGCTGGAGGATGGTTGGACAATGGGTACCAACATGGTCAGGTAGAAGTAAGAGGGCCTAGTGTCCCCAGCACTGGGCAGCTCCAGCTCCCGGGCATGCGCTAACTTCTGTATGAGGAACTGCAGGAGAGCAGCTGGCGGCTCCAACACCCACAGCCAAGAAGACAGCAAGGTTGGTTGCCATGTGATCAGTTCAGGTTGCATACATGAGCTGAAAGACTATACACTGTACCTCCAAAATGTATACACATTACATGAGCAAAGGAGAGTCCCAGCGATGATGCATGGTTCTACATTCCTCTCACTGCTGCTCTCCAGGAGAATTCTCAGGTCCTAAATCTACTCCCCGCTGCACTCAATCTGCATGTCAGAGCTGCACCATGTGTACCATGAGCTCAAACAGCTGCAAGCCCATTTTCAGGTCTCAGTCATCTTCATTTGTCAAAACATCCCTTTGCAAACTAGGAAGTAAAGTATGTGAAAACTGTAGGACTGAAAAGAGAAATGGATGCAGGACTGTATTCCTGAGACCTATGTTCCCTAAAAGCAGGTGCAGCTGTTGAAGAGTTTTCAAAAAAAAAAAAAAAAGACTTCCTATTTTATTTATTTGAATGGTATGAGTAACAGAGGAGGTAGAGAGAGAGAATCTTCCATCCGCTGGTTCACTCCCCAAATGGCCATCATCTGCTGCCTTCCCAGGCATATTAGCAGGAAGCTGGATTGGAAGCAGAACAGCTGGGACTTGAACTCGTGCCAATATGGGATGCCTGGACAATGCTGGTGGCTTGGCCCATTGTACCCAACATTGGTCCCAAAGTGTAGAATCTTAGCACAAACCAAGACCCTCAACACCAGGCTGCATGCCATCTCCTAGCTGGGGTGAGTTGCTGTTGTCATCAGGTGTCCTTACTTTGCGAGGCCCAGAAGGGCTCAGGAGGGAACTCCTCTGGGTTCCTCCCACACCTTGGGCCCAATTCCAGGGCAGCCCTGAGTACACAGGGCGGTGGAGTTGCACATGGGCCTGTCTTCCCCGAGGCCTTGTGCTCTGTGCAGCAAGTGCTCAGGGTCTATGTTCTAACCCTTGGCACAACCAGTGCTCAGGAACCATTGACTCCAAGAGCACCAGGCAAGGGCCTGTGAATTCTCCCTTTCACTCTGTAACAGCAGCCTTGGCTGCTGTCCCCTAGACAGCAAGATGGCACATGTAGTTGTTGTGCCTGAAGATGACCAAACTGCACTGGACATTTGCAACAGAGATGACAGACTCTGTAGAGAAATTGATCAGAACTTTGCAGAGTAAATTACTGTCATCGCCCAGATCGGAAAGGCATGCAGGAGGAGGCAGAATATGTAAACCTGGTGGTGAACAGCAGGGTTCCTGGTCAGAGGGACATGGAGGTCACAGCTGCTGCCTGTGGCCTTGGCACAAGGACAGGCAGACATAGACACTGTAACAACTGCAAGGTAAAGGAATGAATAGATGATCACTTGGACTCTCAAGAGCAATCGATGGAGAACTGGGAGGTGTTAGGTTGTAAAATACAGCATTTTGAAGAAAGGTAAAGAAATTTTACCATATGATTGAAATGAAAGAAAACCATGGGGAAATGGCTCCCGC